CAAGGAATAGGGGCATTTGCAATTAATGTAATGGCCAACGTTGGCTCTTATTTATTGGTTGTGACGACGCCGTTGCTTTATTGTGTTTTTAGAGCTATTCTTAAAATTATATTATTACAAAACGCACATATTAATATTAAACATTAAAAAATATGTTTGTTGGTCCATCTTCATCGCAATAGATACTTTATTCAGCAATACCTAGTATTTAATTACTATGATATACGTTGGTACTACGTAAACGACAATACAAATATTTAATACTCGCGTTTTACGTTTTAACGTTTAGCATAGATTTCTTAGAGATGAAAATATATGATATTTACCAGCAGTAAAAAGTAAACAGACAGACAGACAGACAAAAAATCTAAAAACTATAGATTCAGCCTCTGTGTTGATAATAATGACTATTTCAATAGGATTTTCCAAAAAATATTGAATGTACAGATTCGACTCGTGATTTTATTATATGTATACATTATTGATAACTGCCTCGGTGGTGTAGTGGCTAGCATGTACGGCTGCACACCCGGAGGTCCTGGGTTCGAGTCCCGGGTCGGGCCAAGTTTAGTTATTGAGTCTTCCTGTATAGTAAGTCTCAGTAACAGCCCGGAGTTGGGAAGTTGGCGGTGTTTCACCCCCGTGCCTCGGAGAGCACGTAAAACCGTCGGTCATGCGCCTTAACTCTCACCGGTCGTGTCGAGTGGTCGTCCCACCGGAGTATGAGAGTGATAGGAATAGAGAGTGCACTTGTGTCTGCGCGTACACTTGAGCACTATAATATCTCCTGCGCAGTTGGCTAATCTCATTGAGATTGGCCGCCGTGGCTGGAATCGGCTAGGAGAACATCATCATCATCACATTATATATATATATATATATATATATATATATATATGTGTGTGTGTGTATGTATATTTATTATACAATAAGATACTGAAGGACGTGTAATTTCAACGAAAAAGATAGAGTAAAATGTTGTTATAAAATAAAAAAAATATAATTTAATTCTGGTGATGTCCTGTATAAAAACACGTCTATATACCAATATCAACACTTTTTGTTTAAGTAAAACCTCGACCGTTTCTGAACACTGCAAGCAACAAAATTCTTTTTGGTAGTATATCACCATCAAAAATTTACAAACAACCATAAACAAATAACAGTCCGTTCTCAGTTAAACTCATAAATCTGTTCTTCAGTCATTGCGTAACTCGTACGTTAAATATTTTTAACTTTACTAATGTATGTGTGCACTTTGATATAGTCTCGCGAGTTGGAGATAGTTCCGCATAAATTATAATAAATTTATAATAACCGAATATGTTTTTATATATTTTTTAAGATTTATCGTAAATGGGAAACTCCAGACAACACGCGTACGAGAATTTATAACTTCATAAAAGTGAATATTATTTTAAATTGCTTTAATATTTATTACTCACGTCTTTGAATTCGTAACAGTTCTAGATAAAACCAACAGAATGGTCATGTTTAAACAATATTCAAATTAAAACTAAATGTTTGCTTGCTGCTTGTGAGAAATGTCGGTGTGCGATGAAAATATTTTATGAAGCTTAACTAAATATCTATCTATATATATAAAAATCAATTGCCGTTCGTTAGTCTCTCTAAAACTCAAAAACGGCTGGACCGATTTGAATCATTCTTTTTTTGTTTTGTTGGGGGTGTGTCAGGGGTGGTTTAAGTATAAAAAAAATAGGGAAAACCCATAAGAACAGCAGAAAAATCGAAAAGTTCAGAACTGTTTATTTTGTATGGGTATCACTACTTCGGATTACTTTCAATTAATCGCTTTAGTGGCGGACCTATCATCCAACAATGTGTCAAGCTTAAGTTAGAAAAAATAATTAATATAATATATAGTCCATCCAAGTCCGAGAAACGAGTCGCTAGTAATTAAGATTTTAACATAACTCCAAGAGTTATGTTGGTAGGTTATTACATTTCAAATAGATTTTATAACAATTTACATTTAAATTGCTAAGTTGAATTAAAATTATTTGCATACAGGGCCGCGGTAATTACTGGGTTTTGTACAATTGTAACATGTAATAACTTATTTCCTATCCCTAACATAACGTGCATCTTAAAAGGCTATAAATTAAGAACTATTTTTCTATAGTATATTTATAATAAATCAAAACGATAAGTGCTTTTGAAATTTATATTCATTATATAATAATAACTACAGTTAGTGTTAAAGAAATACATCATAATATTTTGGAGTTTCGCAGAAGACGATAGTCAATAGATGAATGTAAAAAAATAAATAAAATAAAACATACATATCTGTATCGTAATATTAACAAATTCATTTATTGTATACTAGCAACTTATCGCTTCGCCCGGGTTTGTCCCTAGGTACGTTTTTACTGTTAGTATAGATTAAATAGTCTTTATGTCCATGTAGGTATGATGACTTTTATATCCCTTACCGAGGACCCCTTAACGGATGACTTTCGGGGTAAAAGCTATTCTATGCCCTTCCCAAGGTCTCAAACTATCTGAATATCAATTTTCATCTCAATCGGTTCAGTCTTTTAGTCGTGAAAAGGTAAGGAACAAACAGAATTACTTTCGCATTTATAATATACTAGCGGCTCACCCTCGATTCGCTTGGTTGGGTTCGCCTCTAGGAAAACAAAAACAAACCTATCCCACGGGAACCGTACATTTTTCCTGGATAAAAAGTACCTAGCCTATGTGTTATGCCAGACTATAATCTATCTCTGTGTAACATATTTCATACAACATACTCGTAACGTGATCGCGGGCTCGCCTGTGTCGGGTTAAATAATAGTTTTTAAAGAATAGCACTGCTGCAGCAGGCGAAATGGAACTATATATGTACAGCTTCCTACACCCCTCCACCCCTCCCCCTATACCGGACACGCACTTTCTTTTGCTAATGCTATATTGCCGTATTTTTGTAAAATTTAAGATATATTATTTTTTTCTTACAGATGTTGTTGTTCTCATGTAAATAGTGTATTTCCAAAAGGTTTTCAGTAAATTAAAAATGACCCTGTATATTATACATATTATGTGCAGACAGTTGTACTCATTTAAACTTGGCCAGATGCTAGAACTTTAAAGTTTAGAAGGTGCAAAAAAAATTATTTTTAATTTTGTACGAAAATAAAAATTTAAGAAATATTATTTTTCTTGTTACAGATGTTGTTATGATGTAAATAGTATATTCCCAAAAGGTTTTCAGTAAATTAAAAATGACCCTGCATAATTATTCCTCTTTTCAAATGAGATAATTTAAAGATGGGCAGTGATAAGTTTTCTTAGTTTACATTAATTTCTGTCCAAATTCTACTCTTTCTTACTTACATTTGGTGATTAAGTTGTACAACTATGTTTTCATTGTTATATATTTAAATAGTGTTTAATATGATAACTTAGACAGCCTTGCCATTTAATAGTTACGATTATGAATTTATTTACTCAAAATTCTACAAAGTAAAACGGTCAGCTAAATAATAAACTTTGCTAGCATCATTAATTTATAAAGATAAATCGATCCGTGTAAATTAATGTTAAGGACATTAAATAAGATATTAGGAAAATGTCGCAAGTTTATATGTTGAACATCTGATTATGAGTTGATCAAAGAACTGATAAATTATAACCTATCTGTGTTAGAATTTGATCATTTTTGTTGTTCTTCTTAAGTGACTCGATTATATAATGTCAAAAAATTAGGACTTTCAGAAGCATCCTTCAGAGATATATAAAGAATTTTTCGTTTTATTTTATATTATAACAGCAGGCATTTTGTAAAGACAATGAATTAACTTGATAAATCTATAGCTTTGTTTGAATATTCGTGTTGATTATATATAAGGAAGTGGCAGTGATAGATGATAGCGTTTATATCACCCAAATCGTGAAGTCTGTCCTAGAGATAGCGTGCCAGAGGGATATTTCCGTTCTCTGTTTGAATGAGTGATGTTTAAAAATATCATTTATAAACGCCATCAACGAACTCGGCGTTGTTTATCTAATATAAGAAATCAAGTCGATAGGAATTAATTCCAAGGACAGAAATAAAATGTTAGTTTCACGCTGTCACGCTATAAAAGAAAACTTCGATATTCGATTCTTTCTCTTCAACAGAACACGTTTTGATAGTTCGTTAAAATAAGGTTTTAATCTATCAGTGAAAATACGATTTTTTTACACACACGATACGTCTTGCACCGCTCTACATGAACAAGTCGAGCCAAGAGCTGACAACTTGACCTCTGTTCCAACACTCAGCGTTGCCCTTCGTGCTTTAGAATAATATGTGGTAGTAAGGTTAAAGCTTCGACAATAAGGCCTAATAATTACCTATGTTACCTAATAATTACCTATGTTATGTATATATATATATATATATATATATATATATATATATATATATATATATATGTAGTCTGGTATATCAACACACTAAATCTCTCCTAACTCAAGATAATGAGGGGCGCACTCGGGCGCGGTGATAAAACTTTTACTACTTAACTTTCGAGCTTAAGCATCCTTCACATTTTCATTGAGAGCTTTAATTGAAGAAATTATGCTTTGGGTTAAAGGAACGATAATATTGGAAAGGCTGATTTGTTCTTTCATTTATTTACAAACTTGTGTGATTTATTTAATATATATTCTATTTTGACGGTTAGTATAGATTTCTCGGAGATGAGATATTTTCCCGCAGTATATCATAAAAGTATCCTATATGTTGACCCGGATACCCAGCTATCATCATACCAAATTTCATCAAAATCCCTCCAGTGGTTTATCCGTAATACGGTGAAAGACAGACAGACATAAAAACATTTAAAAAAATATAGATTCGGCTTATGTATCGATAATAATGACTATTTCAATAAGATTATCCACAAAATATTTAATGCACAGATTTGACTCAGAGTTTTATTATATGTATAGATAATGTTTTTTATTTTAGATTATTTTGTTCCCAGGGAGGAGGTCCGCAAACACGCGGTGCGGTGGAACGCGAAATTTTCATTTGTTTGCAAAATGTGTGCTAACGCGAACACAGGCGTGCTTGAGCCCGCGCTGCTGCGGGTATCGGTGCGGAAGGAGTGCAAAGGTAAGAAAGGAAGTAAACACCTTGGGTTTTCTAACTTTTATTTTAATGTAAATATTCACAGCTTCGATTACTGCTCATAATGTTGTACTAATCATTCGGTGATATATTTTTAGATATTAACATATGAAAGTCTAGTTTTAGTTTAGTAACTCCGCCCACACTTCACGCAGGCCTTGTTAGTGAAACAATTTTCAGAAACCGTTCCGTAGTATCGAAGTTTACTTCCTACGCCGACTTTTCCTAAACTTTTAGAATGTAACATTTTCAAATGTCCATATTATTATACTGCATAAAATATTGCGCAATGCAAACCATATAATACTTATCAGTTTTATAATAATCGGAAAAGTTCGCCGCTACGGAGCTGGCTAAGAAAAGAATTTCAACAGTATTATACTTACTTTAGAAAATTCTCGTTTGGTTCAATGCAGCGGAATACAATTTGTGAAGTTATTGAAGTATGAATCTGAAACTTCCGACAACATTTCGGTTTCGTTCTGATATATAAGTCAACTTATATATCAGAACGAAATTTTAGCATATATTGAGGTCATTCTATTAATGTATGGAATTTTATTAATGATTATATTGCGGAAAATCATCGATTACAAAAGTACTAGATACACAATCAGCGAAAAAAATGTCCTCACCGAATGAGCGCTTATTCGAACGTTTGAGCGTGTTTTTAATTTTTTTTTTGTTATGAAAACAACTTTAAATATTCCATTTAAGGTTATATTTACATTGTTTTACATTTCAACTAGAATAATTACTTAAACATCATTATTGACAGTTTTAAGAGAACTTTTCCACGGGATTGTGTATCTACCTACTATCTATTACTTTTTTGATAGATGCGGAAAATACAATATCTATAATAAATTAAATTTGCGAGTTACTATAATATAAGAAGGTAATAAAGTTTCTACACGTTATGTAAATAAGCAGAACTGTGTACTCTTTTGCTTTAATTTTAAAAATCTTATGAATATTTATCGGTTATGGGCAGGTGGCAGATCGTACCAAAAGCTGGGCTTCTGCGACGTGAACCTGGCCGAGCTGGCGGGCGCCGGCGAGACCACGCGGCGGTGCCTACTCGAGGGGTACGACCCGCGCCGCCGGCAGGACAATTCGGTGCTGCGAATACGAATCAAGATGAATATGATCTCAGGAGACCCGCTCTTCAAAGTGTACGTGTATTTATATATATTATGTACCAAACGTTTGAGGAAAACATACCTATTTGAATGCTAATTTATCTATCTCACTGTTTCCAAGCTTCAATAACTACTAAATAAATAAAGAAAATCGGTTGACAAACAGAGGAGAAATAGTACTGACCTGTTTGTGGTCAGCACTTTTTTCTACCTGCACTTTGCCTATTTACATATATGTATGTATGTATGTACCTATACAGATTATGTAATAGAACACTTACTTAAAATATTCATATTAGTAAGAGTAGTACTAAAATTTGTACGCAAAGATGTTGCAAAAATGCGAGGGAATCCACCAAAAACAGCTACTTATGGTCTTAATCAATATTTGTCTATAACATTATTAGAAACTAGAAATTAGTTATCGTGAATGAATAAGGCCATTCATTTTTGAATATTTTCACGTCTCATATTTGTAACGTGTATTTCGAAATTGAATGATACAAAAATGGAAAACGTCTCGAGACGTCACGTACAAATTAACATCCGCTGGAGTGGTTCTTTGAACTCACTTCCAGTAATGAGTTCATTTTACAGCTTATTTATTAACAAAATATAACATTTTTCTTGCATAGATAATTTTATTAGAATCAGGAAAATACGTGCTACAACACGAACCGAAACAGCAGCTATTATTTCAACTAGTTTACAGTTTACGACGCGACGGTTGTATGGGTATACATACAACACACGGATATCTGCTCATAAAATCTAAACTAACGCGTTGACCGAATCTGCGAAATTGATTCAATGGCATAGTACATAATATAGTTTTATGAAAACCATGACTAATTTTATGTTGTTACATGTGTTACAGTCCGGAAAGGAAACAAGAAGTAGCGGAAAAGACGGGGGGCGACAGCGGGTCGGAGAGCGCGGCGGCGGCGGACGACGACTGCGCCTCCTCCACCGCCAGCTCCGGCTTCGGCTCGCTCACTAAGAAGAAGAATTATGGTAACTTGTCTATACTTTCTTCTCTTACTTAGTCTTCAAGAGTACTTAGTAGTTTTTAAGATAATATTACTATTTTATGTTATTTTCGTTAACGATTAGGTATTATTATAAAAAATATAAGTTTCTGGGCTACGATAAGTATATTGCAGCAAAGGAAAGAAGTACTTTCTGATGCTGCTGAGGTTGATATCTCGAGCAGCACTGGTTGTCAGTTATACAGTTACACTTAATTCCCTAGTATGGCGAGCTGATTTACAAGTGTACTTAATGTTAAAAGGTAATGCTGTAGGGTTACAAATAGTTTAATTTAACATCCATTTTATAAATTACTTATCGAATACGGAACGTCACGCGGATCTTGGTTAAGACACTCGGAGTTCCCAATGAAACACGTGTATTTAAACGGATTCGTTTGTACACAGACGATTTAAACGAATACATACATATTGATAATTGTATTGTTTATTGGTTTTGATGTGATGTATGTATGTGTATATTCCAGAGGGCGTGACGCCGGCGCTGTCGTCGCTACCCTCGTGCGAGCTACCCTCCCCCGACGCGGAGGACGCGCCCGCCCTCGCCGCCCTGCCCGCGCCGCCCGCGCCGCCCGCCTTACCTGACTACCCGGGTGAGGAGAGAGATAATATGATTATATTAATATTAACTGCCTCGTCTGTCTAGTCACTTCAAATGGTCAACATGTACTATGTGCTTTGGCTAATTAATTAAAACCTACCTATTAAATACATACGAAAATAGAAACACTTCAGAGTTTCAAGTCAATATGACAATTAGAAGTAGGTTAAATTCATCATTAGTTATTTTTCCACCCTTAGGGGTGGTATTTTTTTTTTTGATATTTAAAAGGGACCAATCTGGAAGTATACACTTTCAAACAAAACAAAAATTGTCCAAATCGGTTACAAAATGACGGAGTTCTGAGGTAACAAACATAAAAAAACATACAGCGGAATTGAAAAACCTCCTCCTTTTTGAGGAAGTCGGTTTGTATATCTCGCGCAGTTGGCTAGACTCAGTGAGGTTAGTCGCCTTCAACGATGTTGGCTACTAGGACATTAATACTTATTGTAATAAATATTCAACACTTGGCAAATTATTGCTTTTAATGGGTGGTTTTTACTTTGTTGGCATTTGCTGATTCTAATCGAATATTTGTTGTTGCTACTCTTATATATATTTTTTATAATACAATCACTACATATAGTGAACATTACAGTAGAAGTCAATAGTATGTGTTTTAAATGAAGTGGTTACTAAAGGAAGTCTTCTTGATCCTGATCGAAATTTGATAAGTAATAATAATAATAACATCCAAATATGTAATTTCCAGGTGTCGTGATGTCACAGAACCCGGGCGCGGGCGCGGGCGCGGGCTGCGCGGCGTGCCAGCAGCACACGCACTCGCGCAACTCCTCCAACACCTCGGGCGACATGAGCAGCAAAGTGAGTACTTGCACCTTGAATTTTTATTATGTTTTTTTAGACATTGGGAGGTAAGAACTAGACTAGTGATACGGGAAACTCTCTATTCTTTATATAAAGTTTCGATTAGGTAGTTTCTCTTTTTAAGACGATGCTTTTTCTTATAAATATTTATGAAAATATTTTTGATAAATAATATTTTTCCTATAGAGACTGGCGTTTAATGTTTCATTTTCACCAAACGATGCATTATAGATTGATCATTCACTATTTTTATATACATCATCGTCTTCCTACCTATTTCCCAATTACTTGGGGGATCGGCGAAGTACATCTCCCATACATCTACCTGACATCAACCCTCTTTGGGAATTCACTATAATACCTTTTTTTATATGTTGGGTTACATTAACACACAACACCATCTAGTTCCATGGTAAGCTACGAGGCTTGTGTCATGGATACCAGATAGTTGATACACTACACATATATAGTTTTAAATACATACATATTATAAATATATATATCTAAAATTACGTACATATATATGTAAAATATGTATAGAATAATATAAAGATGTTCGCACGGTCCATTGCAGGCGTCGGGGTACGGCAGCTCGGTGTCGGCCGCGTCCGCGCACTCGCGCCAGAGCTCCGAGGGCGACTCCGCCGGCGATTGCCGCCCGCACCACAACAGGTACACACACACACACATACACTGTTCTTCATACCATTTTTTGGTTCTCTGTTGACTTTAGGACTAAGTTCGAGGGAGTTATATTGCATTTTAGAAAATATTATTATCGTTAGGATAGGATATGAATAATTGCATAATGTGTAGTTCACAAATCTGTGATTGTTTGTGTGACGCGTGAGGTGTTTGAATATTTTCATAATTTGTTATTTGAATATATCCTTTATGATGAATTAAAAATATACTCGATAAGAGCATTGAATCTGAATGGTCTTGATATAGATCATTTTTGCTCTTTTCATTCATTCTGTCCTTGCCAAATTGAATGAAAGAAGATAAATAAGTTGAGTAAGAATTCGCTTCGTATTAGTATTCACCTAGTAAACACGTCAGGACAGGGTTTATGGGCGGATTTTGTACAAATTTACTTGTGATGTATGTTGAATTATTCGTATTATAACATCCATGATATGAGGGATATCCACGATATGGTCCCTGACGTGATATAACAAAAATATGGACATTAATATACGGGAGTTTTGAATTGCGCATGCGTTGAGTGCTATAGTACTGAGGCGGCATGTACAGACTTGATACTTTCGTTAAGTGCGATATATTAAGTGTTTCGTTTGTTTCTCTCGACTCAGAGCCTCCGCGGCGACCGACGAAAAGTAAGACGAGTTGTTTGTAGTTTTTGTTATATTTTCATTTTTTTTGTTCATATTTGTTTTATTTCCTATAATTAATTATATTTTCTATACCTCCATGACCAAGTCATATCTCTTTTATGGCACCTCGAGAGAAATCTACCCGTTTGTACATAATATACTGAGTTGTGGTTTTTATGTTCCTTCTCTTTGTCGTGACGAAGTGAATACTTTGGTGTCGGCGGCAACCACCCGTACAGCCCCATACAGCCCCGTACCGCTTGTATTAACATGATTGTGAGCACGTCACTAACACTGCGCCCGCTGTATTGATTTATTTTATTTTTTTATTTCTCCCGCCCTCCCCCTCACCCTTAATAGCATCCGCGTAGAGCGCACCACCACCACCACCACCACCCTGTACGTGCCCTCGCAAAGCAAGCAGACCGGTCGACCGCTCGCCAAGTTGCTGCTAGAGAAAACCATTCTCACCGAGACCTCGGACATGTTCCTCTCCCCCGACACCACCCTCACGTCGCCGGAGTACCTCACCCCCAACTGCACCCTCACGGGGCCCCCCGACGTGATCCCGCGCCGCGTCCTCTCCCCCGCCAGCGACGAGTACAAGACCCCGGACAGCACCTTCTGCGACGACCACTCCTTCGCGATGCCCACCTACTTCGACCAGAAGAGGAGAGCGGCCTCGGTCATCGCCTCCGCGGTCGAGCCCCTCACCAACTTCCAAGTGTTCAAACAAAAGTCCCTCAACACGATACCGGCTCTGGTCGAAAAGAACAAGCGCAACGAGGAGCTGTTCACCAACTTCCCGTTCCTGACGCCGCTCGCGCACAGGAAGAACTCGCTGCTGTCCGCCTCGCACCTGCCGTCGCTCACGGGCTGCGTGGAGGACGAGTTCTACTGCATACCCTCGGAGGCGGAGGCGGAGTGCGTGGACGTGCGCCGCCGCCTCGCGCCCCGCGGCCCCGCCGCCTGCGCCAGGTGAGCGCCGCCCCACACCCCCACACCCTCACTCCACCACCACCACCACCGCCTCGCTTGCTCCATCGCGCACTAATCACTGGGTGCGGGGCTTGCTGTCTCTGCCTACTTCATTTCTGTCTCTATATTTATTATTTTTTTAATTTTGTTTGATATTTTTTATCAAGGTTTGTGTGCAAGGTGCTAACTGTACAAAAATATTGTGACAGATGCCACAATAAGTTTCCGTGTTTAAGTCATTATTAACGTGTTTCGTGATAACATGTGAAGGTCCGTATTGTTTTGCAGAGTTTGTTTCGCGCTTTCGCCAATTTTATAACGTAAAATGGATTTCTTCGATTCACAAGAGACATATGATTCACAAGTAATAATCGTTTACCATCGTGTGTCTTTATATAAGTGTATGTTTTATATGTCAAACGGAATGGCTAACCGGCAGATCAATTTTAGTGGAATCAATATTTACTATATTATTATCTTAATATAACACCGCACCGGTCCACGGTTCGCCATCCCGGCCACGTGTACGTATGCAGTAGTAACGCAGAGGCCCGTGTGCGCATGTGCGGCGGCAGGCGCGAGGCGGCGGGCGCGGGGGCGCGCGGGGGCGGGCGAGGGCGCGTGCGGCGCGTGCGGCGCGCTCCGCGAGGGCTCGCTGCCGCGCCGCCCCAGCTCCGCCCTGTGCGTCACACGTACACGCGCGAGGCTCCGCGCACGCACACACGCACACGCACACTGCGCGCAGACAGCGTTGTCTTGCCTTTACTCGCTGCCTGTGCACAGTACAGAAATATCAATGACAATACACACTTTAAGCAAATATTTGCACTGAATACGTGTTGGTTCTTAAAACACGTTGCCTCGATTTTTTAAGTATGATCGCTCTTATTTCCCGCCAAGGATAGAGCGCCAGTTATTTAATAATAGCAATTTTGAAATTTTTCACGGTTTCATTTCGATTTTTAATTTCTGCGATTTCGAATGCTTTACAGCAATCATGGTAACGAGAGGGACCACAGACATGAGAAATTAAAAATCAACATAAAACCACGAAAACTCAAAAAACACGAAAACATTTAATTTATTGTTGAATAAATTTAAAAAAAAATAGTAGCAATATTTTATTAGTAAAGTATGTACCTAATACAGTAGAAAATTCAATAACATACACACATACATACATACATACAATGTACACATTACACACAGTAATACAGTAGTGTAGAGTCGGAGCCTCGTTTAGATGTTATTTCGATGTTGTGTCGTGTTTATGTGCTTTCCAGATTTTTATTAGACAATTTATTTTAATAAAATAACTTATGAAGTAGAACATTCGTTTGTTATTTGAACAGTCAATAAAATAAAAGTTGTATTCGTTTTATAATAATATACTGAAATATGCGTTATTTTATTTTTCGCCTCTAGTTTTAGGTTTATTTGAGAAATATGGCATGGTATACGCTTCAGTGCATGCGCCCGCGGGGACGTCGCCACGCTTTGCATGACGGGGTAGTGGGCAGTGGGTGGCGTTACAACTCTGTCTACGACCGACGTCTCTTGCGTCAGGCGGTCGTTCGATATTTATCATAATAATATAATATGTAGTTTTATTCTAATTTTCATTTCATCGGATCTAATAAATATTGAAACTTTAATCTATAATACGAGGAATAAATCAATTTAACCAAAGGAATGAATTTTATATATAATGTAATAAATATGTAATATTTTCATTAAAATGTCCTTTGAACTTTCATACTTAATAAATATAATAAAGAAACGGTGGTGTGTGCGCGCAGGAACCCGTCGTCGGGGTCGCTGACGGCGTCCGCGTCCGAGAGCGGGTCGCTGGAGCGCGCGCGCGCCGCGCCCGAGCGCCGCGCGCCGCCGCCCGACGACCAGGTACTGCCCCACGCAGAGGACAAGCGAACGAGCGGCCAATACCTGTCTTGTTTAGGATTTGAATTTATAAATGGAATGTCAAAAAAATTAAATAAAACGGTGTAATAAATATACTAAGTTATAAATGTCTATCTTCAAATTAATCGTACTTCAATTTATAAAGGAAGACTTCTGGCCGCACATTCGTTGTGTCTCTGTCGCACTTTTTCACCATTTTAAGTTGACTGCTAGCAAAGTAACGCTCAGTCCACTCTCGATGTCTGTGATTTGACTCATATTGCGAGGGAGGCGTGTCGCTCGCCAGGATTGAAAGTATTCTGGATGATGATTTTGTGTATGATTGGTGTGTGTTTGATGAATTGAATCAAAATTGATTTAATGGTTTATACATTACACTACTACTTTACTTACATATAGCATGTACGGCTGCACACCCGGAGGTCCTGGGTTCGAGTCCCGGGTCGGGACAAAGTTTAGTTATTGAGTCTTTCTGTATAGTAAGTCTCAGTAACAGCCCGGAGTTGGGAAGTTGGCGGTGTTTCACCCCCGTGCCTCGGAGAGCACGTAAAGCCGTCGGTCCTGCACCTTAACTCTCACCAGTCATGTCGAGTGGTCGTCCCACCGGAGTATGAGAGTGATAGGAATAGAGAGTGCACTTGTGTCTGCGCATACACTTGAGCACTATAATATCTCCTGCGCAGTTGGCTAATCTCAATGAGATTGGCCGCCATAGTGTTTTTTCCGTGATGCGGTCACAGTCAGACAGACAAAAATTCAAAACATTATAGATTCGACCTCTGTATCGATAATGATGACTATTGGAGTAAGATTTATCAAAAAATATTTAATGTGCAGATTTGATTCAGGATTTAATAATTATATATAATATATATAGCCACGTAGGGACACTTCCAAACGTAGTAAACCTTACTATAAATAAATATACATTTACTACTAGCATTGCCCGCGGCTCCGCCCGCGTTCAGATTACCAAAAAACAAATTGTTAGGTTTTACATATTAGTATACTCTTACATTGCAGTCTTTGTATTTTTCTCAGAAATGAGATATTTTCCCGTGGTAAAAAGTATCCTATATGTTGACCCGGATAACCAGCTATCATCATACCAAATTTAATAAAAATCTTTCCAGTGGTTTTTCCGTGATGCGGTAACAGACAGACAGACAGACACAGACAGACAAAAATTCTAAAAACTATAGATTCGGCCTCTGTCTATTTTAATAAGATCTATTATAATAATGTCTATTTTAATAAGATTTTCCAAAAAATATTTAATGTACAGATTAGACTTAGTTAGAATTTTATGATATGTATAGATAAATTGCTGATCTGAATATAAATATTGAATCATTATCTGAATTTTGATGTGTGTAATAATAATTAGAATTTTATTCTTTAAGCATGATAGTTAACGATCAACAGTGCTCTGAACTTTGTGTTTCGTTAAGTAACATGACTAAGAGAGCAGAATGCGGTGTTGACTTGTGTCGTGTGTTGTGTGCGCAGCACGTGGCGTCGTGCCGCGTGGAGAACACGCGCGTGAACCCCGACTCGCTGATCGACGAGCTGCTCGCCGCCACCGACCTGCAGCCCGCGCCCGACGCCGCCGAGACCTCCGGCCTGCAGCTGTACATCACGCGCGACGGCACCGCCGAGCTGGGCTCCCGCCGCCGCGCCGCGCCGCGCCGCGACTGCCAGCGCGTCGTGCTGCACCCGCTGCACCCCCTCCCCCACCCGCACCCGCTGCACGACCACAGGTAGCCCCCCGCGCCGCCGACCGACCCGCACACGTTTTGTATTTATTTAAAGCAACGAAGTGCCCCCGCGCCCGGCGCCGGCGCGGCCGCGAGCCTCCCCCGTTGCGATGTTACTTCCGAATCCCTCCAATGTTGATTCAAGTGTAAATATTCGATAGTGCCAAACGAGCCCGCGAGCTCGCCGCGTACGTGTGTCTCGCGGATACAGCCTGTACAGTATTTGAATAAAGGACGTGTTTAGAATTACGTTTTGTTTTATTTACTGTTTCCCTGAGGTTTGTGAGATGTCATACTTGAATGTTTGCAATTCATGTGGTTTTTTTTCCTTTAATTATAAACATCAATATGAAAGTTATGTTATAATATTATGGTAAGCCAATGTAATTATTAAAGTGATTGTCTGAATCGGATAAACGGTTAATTATTAGTAGCAATTAATATAATCGCTGAAGACAAGATATAGTCAAAGATGTTTTTTTCTTGATATGATTTATTTTTAACGTAACTTTAGCATAGCTCAAAAGTTGCACAAATATTTTGTTTCATTAAAACACGTATGTATGTACTATGTGCGTGTTAAATATAGCAAAAATGCAAAAATAAAACTTACCTGTTACTGGTATTTAATAGTCGAGTGCAATAAGGAAATTTTCTCTAAAGGAGGGCGTCACACGTATCGCCTGTTTACATTCAGTCTGAGATTAGGCAATTTATTGTGATATCTCTTTTATACCTGGTTTTTTGTTTCTATTGTGTTCGCATCTTACCTGTGCAATGTATTGTACCTGGAAGTTAGACCAGCTGAAGAAAGAATTGAGAATGAGAGGTGCTTCTGTGGTGGTCCTGACTTCTGACTGACTGTTGGATCAACACACAGCCTAAACCGCTGTCGGAAAAAAAATTTGGAAGACGTATTCCTTATTTGATTTAGGCATCCGATAAGGAAGGATATTTCGTAATTCATCCCCTAAGTAAGTAAAATAGGCTAAAGATTGTATGAAACTCTGTCATTCTTAATGTGAAATAAACAGCAAGTGGTGTTTAGCTTTAAGATAAAAAATTAGAAATATATTCATTCGGTTTTTTTTTTCCAATTCCATCTCTTAAATGAGTAAAAGGTGGTAATAAAGTTTATATGGGCAAAGAAATATTTATCATTAGAATTACTTGAAACTATAAAAACAATTAAATAAATACGTGTTTTTGTAATTTCGAAATTGAATCCCATAAGAGGGTAAAATGGGGGATGGAAGTTTGTATAAAACTCTGTAATTAATATGTTCAAAAGTACAAAAATTTAAAAAAATAAACCACCTGTCGACGATTTAAGAGTTTCAAAATCACTTCAATAAAATGATGCCCACACAGCCTTAAATGTAAAAATTGTGATTTCGTCAATTTTGGTCGTCTTATTGCTTTAGCTTACTATTTCGTCAGTTTTTGTCTTTTGGGAACAAATGATATCCATTTTCTTTGCATCCTGGCATTGTACAATTTGTCAATTTAGTGAAATTTTAAATAAAATGAAAAAATCCATCTACGCTTTAGATAGAGGTCTACAACACACTGAAGGCTATAGTGATCGCGACATCTGGCGGGAGGAAAAGGCAAAATTCTTCCCCATTAGTCATTATAAACGTAAAATGACGGAATCCAGTTATAATGAACTAGCGACTCACCCTCGCTTCGCTCGGGTTCGTCCCTAGCTTGATTCCCAATACAAACTTTTATCCCCATTTTCACCGCCTTAAGGGATGATTTTCGGGATAAAAAGTATCCTATGTCTCAGGGTCTCAAACTATTTTCTTACCAAATTTCATCTAAATCGGTTCCGAAAATACTGTATCTCTGTAGATATATATAGAGTACGGGAAATCTGTAGATTTCCCCCTGTAACGTCACAAACTCACAAGCTTAACATCTTTATAATATTAGTATAGATGGTTTGGAATGATTTTTTTCCCTTAGGTTTTTATTACCATATACTAAAAAGTTTACCCGCTAAAATACCCCCGTTTTGAGAATCCATAAATTAAAAAATAAATCTTAAGTTTCTAAATATCTCCACATATACAATTACAGAATTTTTTAAATAAATTTTAAGAAAATAATAACCGTTTTTGTAAAAAGTTTTTAAAGTTGTATTGTAACAAGATTCTATCGATTCTTTCTTAGAAAGGCGAACGCTGGGTGAACCTTAAGATATATTCCAAAACAATGTACTAGAAAATTGTGGGTCCTAAAAAGACCTACAAAAAGTCCACAATAACATATTATGTCTATCTCCTAAAGTACACTCGCAATACCTACTTTTATCTATACATATAATAAAACTGTAACTTAGCGCAATAATTGATGATTTACATGTTTAACGCAGGTTAAACCTTAAGAGATACCCATCAAAACAATGTACTAAAAATCTATGTCATATACTACAGAAAAATCTGCAATAGTATAATTCTTTATCCTAAAATACACTCGAATAACTATTCATATCTATAACGTACCTATAAACCGGAGCGAACCGAGGATAAGTTACTATGTTTTATACAGAAACCGAGTGATTCTTGAAAGAAAAATAAATATAGCTGTAAAAGGATTGTACTATACTAAAAGTAGCATCATTTTCATAACCGAAGGATTTCAAATGGTAAACTTTTTAGTTTTTAGTATAAGAAATTAAAAAAATCCATAATCAGCCAAATCCACTCATTATAGCTGAACTCGAGCTATAAACGCAATTGCGCTTGACTATAAGAGAATATTTCCCGCCTTTTTTCGCTCAAGATAAATCAAATAAGTTTATGTGAATACAACTTATAAAACCGAATAATTATTTAAATAAAAGACATCCTTTCTTTATTTATTAAATAATGAATAATTTTGATTATTATTAATTGAATAATATAAAGCTTAATACTCTAGTGAGTGTTGCACACTGTCTTAATATAAGGAAAAATGTAAAATTATTGATTTCAGTGGAAGCTATTATTCATCTTTTGTTTATGCGATTTTCCGAATTAGAATATTTAGGACCTTTGTTTTCTTTTAAAAAATACATATAAATAGACATATATATTGCGTCATGTTAGTCATTTATTTGCATTTTTTAATGGATGTTTAATAAGCACTAACAAGAAGTTAATAGAACTGAAGGTAGTTTTTTAAACTCATGGTTCTACTAGAGTGGTCTAATGATACTCAATAATAAGGTAAAAAGAAAATCCAGTTAATTTGTAAAGTATATTTTATTGCAATCACGAAGTGTTAATCATGAGTGAACGCCAATCCATTCGTGCAACACAATCTCATACATAACTGTGGACGGTAACATTGCTCGCAGAACATTTCAAGACGCTGCATACAAATTCATTTCATTAAAAGCTAATCGATTTAAGTAGACATCATCAGTACAAGAGTCATATATAGAGGCGATTAATTCATAATATAAAAATATCTACAGTGTAAATTTTACATAAAATTATTTGGACAGTCGTGAAAAATAAATACTACTTATTCTAAAACCACCAAAAGGTGTCGCTATATACACTTCACAATAACACAATCGTCACTAGAAAACATTAGAAAAGTGTTCCTCGACGCGAGCGAGCCGCGTCGGCCGTATCACATGCGGGGTGTCTGACGACACGCTGGAATGTAAGAGCTTGAGCGTGGCCGGCGCGTAAGTACACGCGGCCGCCGTACACTACACTTACCCTCTAAATATATATAATATAATAAACTCTCAATATACAGACTTGTGTGTAAGGCACGGGCGCGGCCGCCGCCCCCACCCCCGCGCCGCCCGCCCTCCGCGCGGAATGTGATTTGTACTATATATATGTAAAATGTATATATAACTCAACTATGTTTACGTATAGTGCAGAGAAGGGGTCCCGGAAGGGGCGCGGAGAGCGCGGGAGGCGCGGGGCCGCGGGGTCGCGGGGCGGCTCGGCGGCGGCGCGCCTTTTCTATCAACTAATTTAGAATCTTGCACGCTTTTCATTTCACTTAGCCTACCTACCGCTAGGCGCGGGCCGCGACCTGCGCCGGCGCCGCCGCACGACATATTTACACTTGTTCGACGTCACGGCGGCGGCGGAGCTTATGTTAAGTGTTAATAAAACCAAGGTACGGTCCGACGGCGCAGGCGGCGACCCCGACTTTAAGAGTACAAAATTACAACTAGTACAATACAACAGGGCGGCCCGCCGTGGCGGGCGGCTAGCTACCGCAGATACCTTATAAATATTTATTAATTACATAATTGGTATATTAGAATTCGGAGACGGTCGCTTGCTGGTGGCGACGGGAGTACGGGGAGGGGAGGGGGGCGCTATATGAGGCGCTCCTCGGGCGGCGGCTTGAGCGCGTGCGTGATCATCTCGGCGCGCGGGTTGCAGTACTCCTGGCCGGAGGGCGAGTAGGTGCCGCGCGTGGCGCGCTTGCGCCGCGCCTGCGCCGCCAGTGCCGCCAGCGCCGCGCCGCCCAGCGCCAGCGCCAGCAGCGCGCCGCCCACGCCCAGCCAGATGTGCGTCGTCGCCGCGCCGCCCGCCCCCGCCTCCATCGACACCACCTGCGTGAACACACACATTCGAAATACTTTCATATTTTGGACAAATTTATTAGTATTGATTTTCCCACTTAATCATACAGTTTAATTAGGGAATTAAAAAATCATTTTGGTCAAATTTCTGTTTTTTTTTCCTTTTTTATATTTAATTTTTTTATGACTATTTTTTAATATGATTTGTATATTAGTTGAAACTTTGGATTGGAATGCTACGTGGTGTCTTTTTGTGTTTCCTGTAAATGTTTTAAATACTGTTAGCACCCAAAAAAAAAACAAATATACTCATAGTGCTACCATATGGCTAATAAATAGTTCAAATGGTAATAACGCAATACAAACGCGTATCGCGTGTGTACCTGGTGCGAGCAGTTCTTGCCGGTCCAGCCGTCCACGCACTCGCAGACGTAGTCCACGGTGGCGGCGCAGCGCTGCTCGCAGCGCCCGCCGTGCAGGCAGGGCCCGCCCGCGCCGCCCTCGCCGCCCTGCGTCACGCACGGGTCCGGCAGCGCGCACTCGTGCCCGCAGTAGCCCTCCGCGCACTCACAACTGAAGACACAGACAAACTCAAATATTACTTTTATATAAACACTCTTTCATATATATTTATATTTTATACACTATTTACTTGAGTAATAATGATATAATTAGGATAAAAAAGTAAAAATGAGTTTGTAAATTAGCAGTACATTTTTTCAGACTTTTGCAGTGAATTGTTTGTAAATGTTATAAGATATGACGCGATGCACTGTGCACTCACGTGTAGCCGCCGGGCAGGTTGCGGCAGAGGCCGGGCCCGCAGTCCACGGCCGCCGCCGCGCACTCGTCCACGTCCACCTCGCAGCGCGCGCCCTGCCACTCTGCAACCGACACCGCACACACAACATTAACAGTCGCCACAGATGAAATCATAACTAATTTAGTGTTACACTTTTTAAATTTCGTTTTTTTTTCTTCTATAAAGCGTTTATTTCAGAAAAAACCTATATAGATAGATAAACTTTAAAAGCAAAACCTTATCTAAATACAAAATTTGATCCAAATCGTTAAAACCGTTTTCGAGATATATCCTAAAAATGATTGAATCTGCAACTTTAATGTAGAATATCCTAAATTTATAATACTCTGTGTAATGTACAAAGAACATTAAATATTATATGTGATACAATCTTTTACTCAACAATTACCTGTTGCATAAAATGATGTAATTTATAATAAGAAAAGGATAAATAATATATCAATATCAACCAAATTGCATCAAAAATATTTAAATAGATAAATAATTCAATACACAAAAACAAAAAAAAACACCAATTCTCGCCAAAACCAACCGAATATACTTTTCTACCAATATCGAAAGAGATCGACCTACATATATTTTACAGCTGTGAGCTGTTAGAGGGAACGATTTTAATCAAAAAACAGATAAATTAAGAGATATATACCTTACATTTAATATACAATAGAGAATTATCCTCAAAACAATCAACTGAAATGCAGATAGATAAGCCTTCATTATTATATCTCTTAATCAGCTCCAATAAATGAATGCAATACATGCATATAGAGACTAATAAATTCGAAACAATCATGACTCAACTCTAAGAATGAATATTGAGAATAAAAAAGTTATTTCAACTTCCAACTGACATGAATTATATAATAAAAAAAGTTTAGAAAACGTCAAATAAAAAATAATATACAATTTTCAAATACATAATTTGTCTATAAAAACTTGACTCCATTAAAGTTCAATATCATACATGATATGATGTCGCAATGTCTGCGTGTACTTAATTCAATATGTATATAACATACCCAGCCCACATAGCGCTATTAGAATCACTATCCATATACAAGTCCGCCGCACCATCTTCGTAACATCACTGACACCACCACACCACCCACCACGCACAGACCGACACTATCCTTCGCTATCCTACACTAAGTACTGCTATTTCCATCACATTTTAGGCATAATGCTGAATTAATTTTAATAAAAACTAATTCCTAAGCATTTTTTGCGCACACTGCGTCGAGACTGGGGCAACCTCACGGCAAGGCCAGTGATTCACAAACTGTGATGTTTCCTGCTGTTATCAATGTCGCAAGACGTCACCTTGCCTCAATTGATGACCGTTTATTAATTACTCATGCGTTTACATTGCTTCATTCGCGTTTTATTGTTAACTTTGTGGTTTTCATGGGAAATTTATATATTTTTTTATATCATCAACAATATGTTTTAATTCAAATTCATAAAATTTCAACAAGAATATATAAGAAGAATATTATTATAATTTTGATAAGAATGCCATTTAAATGTTTTTTTTTTTTAAATTAAATATAAATTACATGTAATTTATAAGGTAAGTTTGAGAATCATTGCTCTGTTATCAGTGGCTATCTATAGAACTAGATTGCAGGCGATGGCGTGTACGTGGACCGATAAGATGCCGAAACGCTATGTATTTAAAATAATAGAATGCGCGTAAAAGATTAATTCATATTAATTATGCACATCTATTTTATGGAGAAAATAAATATATTTTTTACTTTAAACAATGTATATGAACAATTTTTGACAATTTTTTTATTTATTAGTGGGCAATGTATGAATTTTGCAAGTATAAAAATTATATATTGTATCATATAACTTAAAATATAATTATTTGTTTTCTTATTTTCAAATCGTGGAAGCCGTTTCCGTTACGTTTTAGTAACGCATTTGGATCAAATTTTATAAGGTTTTACTTTTTATGTTTAATATGGGTGTTTTTTCTGAAAAACATGCTTTTTCTAAAAAAGCCGAACTAAACTCGGTCGCCCAGATAAATTTTATTAATATGTCAATTATATATATATATTTTTTTAAGTATTTGTTACTGTTTCATGTATATGTTAATGGCATTTAGACACAGTAACATCACATCACAGTAATATTGTTCTACTGAAATATATACTTATAAATAAAATTGAAGGGTTTGTCTATCATTACAGAAATATCTAAGTAAGCTCGAGTGGTTATTCAGTTGACATAAAATAACAAACGACTGTTAAAAAATATTAATTTGTACTTCCTGAATTCAATTGTTCGGACTGATTTTGATGAAACTCACTAGCAAGTGGAGAATTCGGATGAGATATACAATTTAGATTTTATCACAGTGTACGTACCCGGCGGGCAGTCGCACAGCGGCGGGCGGCGGCGCGGCACGCAGCGGCCGCCGTGCAGGCAGGCGGCGGCGCCGGCGCACTCGTCGCGCTCCGCCTCGCACAGCCGCCCGCTCCAGCCCGCCTCGCACGCGCACCGCGGCGGCTGCACAAGCCACGTATACATATATTTGTATATACAACACTTCATATCATACTATTCCAATGTTACATTTACGACAATATTGGTGTTTTTTATATTCCAAATAAATTGATAGAATTTATGACGACACGGATTTTTTTTATAATATACCCAACTTTTTATAATTTTAAATATAAATATCTCTTTCTTGAGATTTATTTAGATTTTTAGAATATTTCTAAATATGTTGAATATTTTTTGAATACCCATTCAATAATGTGATTAAGTACCGTCGGAATATAGGATGACTTACAATAGAATCAGATTCACAGTGTCCGTTGACGCAGGGCGTGACGTCGCAGAAGGCGAGCTCGCAGTGCACGCCCTCGAAGCCTTCCGAGCACTCGCACGTGTAGTTGTTACCATTCACCGTGTCTGTTGACATATGCGCATAGAAAACATGTTTATTTGTTTAAAATAAAATGATAAAATTTATATTTTTTTGAAACATTACCCCATATGAATATTTTGTTTGAGAATGTATGGATATATCGATATATCGATATATAGATGTATATTTACTACTCTTTTATGCAAAAACTACTGAACGAATTTTGACGAAACTTTTGAGTTATATAGCTTACACATCAGAATAAAACGGACTAAAATTTATAAGACATAGATTATATTTTTTTGTATTTGGAAATGATATTTTTAATATTGGTTGTACGCGTGGCACTAGTGAGCAGTGAGCACTGACCGGGCACGTCGAGGCAGCGCGCGCGCGCGGCGGGCGCGGCGCAGGGCGCGTGCGCGCACGTGCGCGTGCGCGGCGTCGCGCAGTCCACGCCGCGCCACTCCGCCGCGCAGTCGCAGCGGTAGCCGCCCGGCAGGTCCACGCACGTGCCGCCGTTTGCGCACGGCGACGACGAGCACTCGTCAATGTCGTGCTCGCAGCTGTCCACAGACACGCTCGAGTCATAAAAGATGAACTATAACCTTACCAAACTAAAGGATCACTCAATGTACTCACAACTGTCCGTCGAACCCCTTGGGGCAGATGCACTCGTACGCGGCAACGAGGTCGCGGCAGACGGCGCCGTTGCGGCACTGGTGGTGCTGGCACTCGTCGATGTCGCGCTGGCAGTAGTCGCCGGCGTAGCCCGCGGGGCAGGCGCAGGCGTAGGAGCGGCGCACGTCGGCGCAGGCGCCGCGCACGCACTGCGCCTCCACGCACAGCACGCAGCCCACGCCGGCGCGCGCGCCCCACGCCGCGCCCGCCACCAGCGCGTAGTGCGGCTGTGCGGCAAGCAGCGCCGCCGCCGACCCCACGAACAGCTGCTCCTCCGTGAAGAACGGCAGCAGCAGCGACCCCACGTGCACCGCGCCCAGGCACCCCTGCCGCGACATACACCGTAACATTGCTCAATAGATCTCTATCAATACTATTAGCATTAAATACTAGTAATATGACAATTTTAACATTATTTTTGAATACAAATATTGCTCACCTTAAAGTATTCTCCGGCCAGATTGTCATCTATGAATTCATCACCTTCTGAGTATTCGATCATATTAGGATCTGTTGAGTTCTCCATCTGAAACATAATAAAATGAAGATAAGATTATCAAAGTTCTTCAAGTTAGGCAGTAGTTAGTGCCTGGTACTGTGACTTACGGAGGTGGTGTAGAAGGCGGAGGCGAAGGCAGGCGTGGTGGAGGGCGGCGGGGCGGAAGTGAGGGCAGGCGCAGGCGCGCGCACGCCGCCCAGCGTGATGTCGCCCTGCGTCACGAGGCGCTGCCACGCCGCCACGTCGATGTTGTCAGACAGCCCCACCTCCTCGTGACCCTCGCTGTCTACGAACGCGCCTGTACAAACATCATATAAAAAAAAAAAAAAAGATATTACCATGTTCTTTTGTTCGATTTTCAAATTTTTATACCTCTATATTTTATCAGTATATTTTGAAAAACTATTAAATAATTGCATTACGGTTCCATATACACATAATGAAAATTCAATGTCAATATTCGGAGACAATTAACGACACTATAAAATTCTAAATGTTTAATTACAAAAAAAGACGTATAAAGTATTTGTGTATGTGTGTGTGTGTCGCGTGTGTGCCTTGTTCACCTGTGATGGTGTCGCCCAGGAACATGAGCCGCAGCGTGACCCAGTCGGTGTGCGGGCGGCGCGCGCGCATGCGGCGCAGCGCGGGCAGCGCGCCCAGCCGCCACTGCACGCCCACCTGCCCCTTGTACAGCCCCACGCTGAACACGTGCCCCTCGCCGCCCGCCTCCGCGCCCGGCAACTGCGCGTGGAACAGCGTGCCGCCCACCTTGCTCCTACACCACACATACATATGTATTACAATAACAATCATGTATTAGAAAAAGGCCTTTTGGATTACTGTAATAATTGTGAAATTTTGGAGGCGTGTCTTTGTATGTTTGTCACTCCTTCGAGCTAAAATGTTTGGATAGATTGAATGAAATTCAATATACAATACAGATAGACGAAAGTCCTACAGGTCATAACCTGTAGCAACACATAGGCAGTTACACATTTAGGTCATACCGTGCGAAAAGATGTCGTTATTGGTTAATATTCCTGTTTATAAATAGTTTCATTTAGAAATAAATATACTCGTAATAAAAAAAATTACTTTTTAGATTTACGCGAACATATGACATTTTAAATAAATCTGGTTTTTCGGATTTTTTCGTAGATTTATTTTAATATTTTTGTGGTTCCCGGTGTTTCAAATACTATATAGTATAATATATGATGATGTATATGATTGTTGAGAAAATAACTAACGTTTCAGACGTCTCAAAGGTCTTTATATATTTATAAAAGACAGTATCTATCTACAAAATTATAAAATATTTAATTTCAAGAAACTATACCAATAATAATTAAGAATATTGAGTCACATTAAGAGCCGAGTGTACCTGTAGGTGATGGTGAGCGACTGCGGCAGGTCGAGCGGCTCGGCGGGCTCGAGCGCGGCGCCGCGCGGCACGCGCAGGCGGTAGCGCAGCGTCGTGTTCACGCCGTCGAACGTCGCGTTCGACACGCACTCGTATCTAACCACGAACACTTTATATTAAACACACTGTATTCTAGTATAATGAGCAACTAAATGCCTTTATAACGATAGAGCGAAACCGCAATAGATTATAATAATATAGTTAAAAATAAATATAGAAAGTGACACTCACCCGCGGTCTAGGTTGCGACAGTGCGAGTTGAGCGGGCAGCCCTGCAGCTGGCAGAACTCTACTTCAGCACACTGTTTGCCCTTGTACCCTCGTGGACACGTGCACCTGGAGACCATACATTTTTTTTAACTAAAATATAAATATTTTTGTCCGTGTGTCTGGGTGTATATTTATAATAAAGGTAAATTCTTAAATTTATAAGTGATATAAGTTTTATTATAAACCTCATTACTAATACGGAAGCTATAATAATGTTGTTTTTAAAGAGTGTTACTATATATTTCCTGTAAATTAAGTTTTATTAAGCTTAACTTTTCTTTTAAATCTATTCTTCATGTACGTTAACCATATTTATGCTACAGTTATTTTCGGGTGAATTGAGGTAGCCTTATTGTAAAGTACTTTAGAGTATTTAGCACTAGAACGGAACGTGTGAACGAGAGAGCGAGAGTGAGAGCGAGAGGGCGACGTACGTGTAGTCGTTCCAGGTGAGCTCGCATGAGGCGTTGTGCAGGCAGGGGCGCGAGGCGCAGGCGTCGTCGGACACCACGCCGCGCAGCACGCCGCGCGCGTCCAGCGACACCTCGCCGAAGGGCGGCGGCACGCGTAGCCCCGCCGCCGCCAGCGGGAAGAACTCCACCACCGTCACGTTCACGCCGTTCGACACCTGCGGGCACACAGTGCGGCGACCGTTTACTATACTGTAACAAATCTTTGGTACGACGACGTGGACGGCTCTGGACAGATATTTTTATTGACTCTTTTTTTCAAAAAGAAATAGAGACAATAATAATTTTTCCAATTTTTTTCTTGTATTTACACAAATTAATAGTAATAGGAACTAAAAAACACAAATATGCAGTACTTGGCAACTTAATCCTACTTTACTCTACTAGAAGCTGACCAGTAGCCTATATTTTACTTCAATTCATTTATTTTTTTAATTATAATAGTAATCTGATTAAAGTTGTATACCTGGACGTCCTGTATGACTCCCTTGAAATAGTCGGCGTCGTCGGGCTCGGGCAGGGCGGGCGCGGGCGTGGCGGGCGGCACGGCGGCGTCGGGCGGCGGGGCGGGCGGCGTGGGCGGCGCGGGCGGGGGCGGCGGCCCGCCCAAGTACAGCACCTATAAATATTATTACAACTTAATAATTTTTACTTATTAATGTGTAATGTAGAGGTTAACAAAACAAAGTTTTCATTTAATAAAATTATTTTTTTAAATGAAGGAAACATTCTAGTACAAACCTGCGCGTCAAGTTGCTTCGCAGCGGATATAGATTTTCGGAAATATTCAGTGCCATTCAGTTTCACTTGAACTAATGTTGAATTTCTCACAACCTGTAAGCAGAAACACATTTACAAATGAAATATGGATATAATAAAAATGATTCTTAATAGCAAGGAAATGAATGGAATAAGGAGTTGCAAAACTGAAGGGACCTGTATGAGATGCAAGTGTCCGTTGTCGAGGCGCGTGCCGCCCACGGTGTAGTCCTCGGGCGTCTGGTTGAAGCGTAGGTGCACGAGCAGCTCGCCGCCCTTCAGCGACGCGCCCACTAACGTCTCCTCGGTTTGGCCGTACCTGTTCCGGTGCAATTATATACGCATTCATTTAATTTGCATTTATATTGTAGTTTCGAAATCATGTTTAAAAAATTAATGATAAAGTTTCGTTAATAGCATAATATAACAAAATGTCGTATGCATGCAATGTGGCCTTAGTGCTTATTTGTTCAAACGATTAATACATTACTCGTACAGTAGAGAGATTTTTTGTTCTATTTTTAAAACAGAGGTTTATTTTTTAGATTTATATACATATGTGGATAAAATATTTTTTTCGGCATTATTTAAGTAAAATGTGCATTTAATACAAATAGAAGTCAATAATTTTATATTAAAAACTCTTTTGGTAAATTGGTCGTTTGCACAAGTATGCACTGATACGGCGATATATCGGGCGAGATACAAGATGTGTGATGTGGGTGCACCGACTTGGGCAGCGAGCCGAGGTAGAAGATCTGTCCGGTGGGCTTGCGCGTGCGCACGAACATGGAGATGTCGAGCGCCGCGTGCACCGCGCGCCGCGCCGCCTCCGACACCGCCACCGTCACCACCGAGCGCGGCCGCGCCGCCTCCTGCCCGAACGTCGCCGCCGTGTAGTCTGCGTTCATATTTTAATACTTAATATCGCTAAATGTGTTCATGTCAACGTTATATACGCAAAAAAAATTCAGTTCCATTTTTAAATACATATTTTCAAATCATACATAAAAATCGTTTATAATTATCAAAAATAAAAAAAATTGAAATCGACAAGACCAATCAATAGACACCTTTTAAAGTGTTTTAAGAACGTGATTCCCCCATATAACAATAGCAACCTTTGACGTTGAGAATTAACAATTGAATTTGCTATTTATTAATTCCTAAGAAATTAAAAATCTAGTTTCAAATTTTTCTTAGGTGCTATAAAATCTAAAGAACAAACGGACACTATTCACTAATGAAATATGCAAATAATGTACTGACTGTACTGGCAGGTGTCGCCGAGGTAGGGGCGCGGGCAGGTGCAGCGGAAGGAGGTCCAGTGGTCTTCGCAGGCGCCGCCCGACAGGCAGGGGTTGGGCGCGCACTGCGGCGTGCGCGGGCACGACGCCAGCACGCCGTGCAGCAGCGCACGCGTGGCTACCGCGCCCTCCGCACCCTCGCCGCCCTCCGCCTCCACGCCCTCTGCCTCCGCGCCGCCCTCTGCGCCCTCCGCCTCGTCCGCCGTCTCGTTGTCCGCGCCCGCGCCCATGCCGTCTAGGACTAGGCTGGAGTTTGAGTCTTCAGGGAGGACCTGTTGATAATTTTTTTTTATTGTGTATATTATATACAAAACCAACAAAGATATTATATTTAAAGCGACGAAGAGGATACGTATACTCTAATATTACCAAATCCTCATGTGCGAATCATTTTTAACAGGATTACTGCTTGCCTTACAATAAAGGAAAACTTGCATATCTGAGAACCTAGCAAGTTTTCGAAAGACATGTGAAGTCCGCCAACTCGCACTTGGCCAACGTGGTGACCTATGTTCTCACTTCCCTCGTCTTAACGGGAAGCCCGTGCCTAGTAGCTGGTTGTTAATAAAAATTAAAAAAAAACCCACTTCCAGACATTAAAATGTAAAAAATAACTAAACGAGGATTTTCATTTAGACTAGATACGTAATCAGATATTTTCGAAGTTGGTGCCAGTCGACAATATTTTAAGATATGAATATCTAATTGTTAAATATGTTTTACGTCTCGAGCTTTGTATCGGCTGGCACCGACTTCGAAAATATCTGATTAGGTATCTAGTCGAAATGAAAATCCCCGTTTAGTTATTTTTTACATTTTAGTGCCTGGAAGTCGCGTTTTTTTTTAGTTTTTATTTGTCCATTTTTAGTGTAGACGTAATAAGCAGGTAATTTGTTAGAAGAAATTTTTTTAATAACATATTCGATTAAGCATTTTATTTATAAAAATAATTTATTTGTTGATTTAAAAAAAACCGCTCGACCGATTTCGATAAAATTTATATGGGACCACCACCACCTGGGAAGTATACCCTTTGAAACAAAAAAAATCCAAATCGGTGCAGGCGTCTTCGAGTAATCGGTGAACATATATAAATGTATGATTCAAAGAGAAAACTCAACTCACCCATTGTCCGTTGACCACGACATCCTGGACGCAGCCGACGAAGAAGTTGGGTCCGTGCGTGAAGCTGCCGTAGGAGGAGCCGGCCGTGCCCAGGCGCGTGGACGGGAACGACGTTACCGACGCGTTGAACGCCTCGTTCTGGCTGATGGGGTAGATGGTCTGCTCCTCGTTGGCCGCCAGCACCAGGTGCGACGAGTTTATCGTCACGAATACCTGACACAGTTGCAAATGTATTTTTAATAAATTCCACACAAAACAAAATTTATAGATTGATTAAAACGTTGAATTCGAACAGTTCACCTTTTGCCAATGGCTGTCGTTGAGATTGGATCCGATGAACACCCCCTCCCACTTGTTGAGCAGCGAGGAGTGCAGGTTGAGGCGGCCGTTGGAGAGCTCGAGGAAGAAGTAGGTGAGGCCGCGGCCCATGGCGAGCAGGCCGCTGCCCAGCGTGGTCTTGAAGCGGAAGGAGATGTCGTAGCCCTCCTCGCGCGAGGTGTTCACCTCGGCGTAGCTGCTCCTCTCGAGCGACATGGTGGTGATCTTCTCGCAGGTGGTGCCGTAGTAGCCGGGCGCGCAGGAGCAGTTGAAGCGGTGCTCGGTCTCGCTGCGCAGCCAGGGCAGGCAGGTGCCGCCGTGGCGGCAGGGCGCGGCGCGGCAGCCGGCCAGCGCCACACTGCAGTTGCGGCCGCCCCAGCCCGCGTCGCACACGCACTCGTAAGCAGCGCGCGCATCCAGGCAGCGGCCGTGCGCGCAGGGCGCGTAGCGCGCGCACTCGTCGATGTCCAGCTCGCAGTGCGCGCCCTCGTAGCCGGCAGCGCACTCGCACGCGTACGCGCCCACGCCGTCCACGCACGTGCCGTGACGGCACGGCGAGGACGCGCACTCATCCACGTTGACCTCGCAGCGCGCGCCCTGCGTGCCGGCCACGCACACGCACGCGAAGCCGCTCGCGTTCTGCAGCGCGAAGGGCTGGTAGAAGTCGGCGGGCAGCAGCATGTGCGGCTGCGGGCCCACGGGCAGCGCGGGCGCGTCGGGCGCGCGGTACAACGCGCGCGCGCTGCGCTGCAGGCACACGCCGCCATGCTTGCAGGGGGACGACGCGCACTCGTCTATGTCCGTCTCGCAGTTCTTGCCGGTGAATCCCGGGTAGCAGGCGCAGTGGTAGTCGTTGACGTCGTCGATGCAGGTGCCGCCGTTGCGGCAGGGGCGCGGCGCGCACTCGTCGATGTTGGTGGCGCAGTCGTCGCCGCTGTAGCCGGTGCCGGCGCAGTCGCACGCGTAGCCGTTCAGCTCGTCCACGCAGCGCCCGCCGTGCTGGCACGGTTGCGACTGTACACACACCACCGTTTATTATCAACCGTTCACTGTGCGCGTTTCATAAATACATTTAAACGCAAAATATTAGTTTTATATGGGTGACGCACTCAAATTCTAATATTTTTTAGATCACGATAACAAATAAAATATTATGTTTGAATTATGGACATATACTTTTCCTACACAGATGTTTGTGCCAAACTAATTAAGATAAATACGTAAAAACGCGTCTCAAGCTAATTTATCATGCGGCTGATTTTAAAGCGATTGGCAAAGAAATATCGCGAGTCAATTGGATTGCTGATCTAGCCACCTTAAATACCGAAGAATCCGTCAGTTACTTTTATAATATTTTACAGAATTTAATCGACGTGTATATTCCAAAAAAACCTGTTAAATCACATTCTAATTACCCTCCTTGGTACTCCCGTAATCTTATAAAATTAATACGACAAAAAATGAATAAGCATTCTAAATGGAAAAAATACCGAAATGACCGAGATTATCAGTTGTACTCTGCCTTACGTTCTCGACAAAAACGAGTTGAACGTGAATGCTACGAACGATATATAATTTTCTCTGAAGATAAGATTTCAACCTTCCCAAAATATTTTTGGTCATTTGTCAAATCTAAATTTGGCTCCAATAATATTCCTACCGAAATGAAATTTAATAATGTATCTTCCAATAACCTAGAAACAATCACTAACATGTTTAACGAATATTTTAAGTCAGTTTTTGTCCCTCAAACTGACACAATTAACAGCCACATTGCCGTTGATGACGAGGTCAATATGTCTTCAGTTAATATATCGACTGTAGATATTCAACGTGAAGTTGTCTTAAAGCACTTTGAGCAAGTTAATGTAAATAAAGGTGCCGGTCATGATGGTATTCATCCAGTTTTAATAAAAAAACTTTGTAAAGAGCTTTCAACTCCACTTACTATAATTTACAATAAGTCCATAACTGAAGGCTGTTTCCCGAGTATATGGAAAAAAGCTATCATCACCCCCATTCCGAAAGGGAGTGATATACACGACGTAAAGCAATATAGACCCATATCAAAGTTAAACAATTTTGGTAAAATTTTTGAAAAAATTATAACTAATATACTTACCTCTCACTTGTATCATGTAATAGTCCCGAACAACATGGATTTTATCGTGGTCGTGGTGTAAATTCAAATCTTGTGATGTACACTGACTTTTTGCTTAATGCTCTTGATGTAGGTCATCAGGTTGATGCAGTGTATACTGACTTCTCGAAAGCGTTCGATAAGATTAATCATTCTGTTTTAATAAGGAAGCTTTCGAGAATTGGTATACACGGCGATCTTCTTAGATGGGTATGTTCATATATAAACAACCGTAGCCAAGCTGTTGCACTCAAGGGGTATGTCTCTAATTTTGTGGAAATTTCGCCTGGAATCCCTCAAGGCTCTCATTTAGGGCCGTTTTTATTTACTTTATATATAAATGATATGAACTCTTGCATTAGAAACTCTCATCATTTGTTATACGCTGATGATACCAAGATTTATAAAATTATCCGTTGTGATGATGATTGTCTTGAGTTACAGCAAGATTTATATCAATTTGAGCAATATTGTAATAATAATCATTTGTTCCTTAATGTTGATAAATGCTGCGTAATAACTTTTTCTAGAAAACATCAGCCTCATATTTATAAATACAAATTACTAGGAAATACTCTGAACAGAGTCACCGAAGTTCGTGACCTTGGTGTCACGCTAGACTGCAAACTGCACTTTAACCTTCATGTTGACAAAATTGTAGCTAAAGCTTTTAAGCGTTTAGGATTAATCCTCCGTCTAAGCGAACCTTTTACTCGAGGTAATACACTAAAAATACTATATAACGCGTATGTGAGAAGCATTCTCGAACTCGGAAGTGTTGTCTGGAGTCCTCAATATATGGTACACATCCAAAGAATTGAAAAAGTGCAACGGAAGTTCGTGAAGTCTCTGGACTATCGTACTGGTTTTTATTATACCGACTACGAGGAGAGTTTGACAAGACATAATATGCAGCTTTTGCACTCCAGGCGTAATTATTTAGATACCATATACTTATACAAAATTGTTAATAACTATGTAAACTCCACAGATTTATTAAACCTCATCTTTTTCAAAATTCCCCGCTCCTCTTCCTCTCGTTCCAAAGATACATTCCATATACCTTCATATCATACTAGGTATGCAAAAAATACCTTTCTCAGGCGTTCTTGTTCATTCTATAATAATAATTTAACTGTTGTTGATATTTTTTCGTGTAAACTAAGTATGTATAAAAAGCAAGTGTTTCGTATAATATTCTAACTATGGGCTTTTATTGTTTATTGTTTGTACTATGATAATATTATTAAAATTTATTTGTTACTATTACTATAATTGCTTCCTATATTTTGCCAGTAGGTACAAACCAATCAATGTTTTAGTTTTTCGGAAATTTTGTATAAACTTATTTATTTCTAATTATTGTATAAGACATATGTATTTTTGTTTCTTTTTTAGTAGCTTCAATTTAGTTTTATTTAATATTTTTTTATTTAATTAGTTTCACTTATTATTTTGGTAAACATACTTATTTAGCATCCGTCACTTTTGATGACAAATCAGTTCATTTGTAATAATTTAGGGTAATATAGGTCTAATTGTATCCTTACTGTTTTAGATTTTTTGTTTACGACTGTTTTTACCTGAATAAATAAATAAAAAAATAAAAATAAAAAAAAAATAAATAAATCGCGACGTTGAACATCGACAACCAACTTGTTATTCAAATTATAATTTAAATAAGTTACCTCGCAATCATCAATATCAGTCTCGCAATGCGCTCCGGTGAGTCCTTCCTGGCACACGCACTTGTAGCTCGCGATACCATCCACACACGTAGAGCCGGACGCGCAAGGATTTGCTGCACACTCGTTTATGTTTATCGAACAATCCTTTCCTAAAATATACATATATATAATAATAATAAAAACAAGAATAAAAAGGTAACATAACATACATATATTATCATATAGATTCATACCCTCATATCCTTCAACACAAGTACATTCGTAGTTATTTTCCAAATTCTGGCAAGTTCCACCATTTTTACAGGGCGAAGACAAACATTCATCAATATCTTGATCGCAATTGTCGCCCGTGTAGCCTAAAAAAAGAATAATGTTCTGAATATGCAAATTAACTACTTAATTAACAACATTGATAACACATAATGTAGGTAAAATAAAAAGAAGACAAACCTGGTTTACAATAGCACTGGTAAGATCCAGGAAGATTGATACATACTCCGTGATTGCATATTTTAGGCATCAGTGTACATTCATCTATATCTAACTCACAAAACCTTCCTGAAAAAGAAAGGCAACTTAATTAAAAAAAAAACAAATCTGTTACGTCTCCATAATTAATAAAAATGTGTTAATCATTTAAACAAGGTAAAAATTACTACCATGAATACTGAACAATAATAAAATTAAATTGGTAATAAATGTATCCATTTCATATGGAGTATTATTAACATTACTATGAAAATGTGACTAATTTATTACAATAACAGTAAACTGATGTAACACTTTGCGTTACATATTTAAACAGTTTGCACAAGTGATTAAACCCCGCCGGTGAATATAAAGCAGTTGCGACTGTATATTACGCTCAAATGTCTATTGGTTATTGAGTCATAAGAAATAATGTTCATTCATATATTTTGCTTCATAAATATTTAAAATGTTTCAGCATGCTTTACATTGTTCATTGATAAATAAAAGTTTTTTTTTTGAATGCGGCAACTCTGACCGTATCTGTCATTATGGTGAATCGACAGTTGACAGTTCGAAAAAGTTGACGTTAGTACTTGACAGTCGACGACCGTATTTGTCAAAACAATCGATTCATTTCAAAGCAAAATAAAATAGAAAAACATATCTAATAATTCATTAATTAATGTTGTTTTTAATTAAGGCGTATTTATTTAATAAATTAATAATGTTCTGCTTATAATAACGCAATATGATCTATTCAGTGAGAAAGATTTTGAGGTTACATCGTAAGTGCAGTGTGTTTGCTCATTTTAGTCAACGAACTTCAAATACTGATGCAATTAGCCAAGGAAACCAAAATGAAAGTGATAACAAGGACTTTAAAACACTCTTACAGCAGTATAAAGATAAAATTGTGTTCAGTTCTTACCTAGAACATGAGAAGTTGGAACTGGGTTACTTTAAATATCATATGAGAACTATTGCAAGAGCAAAAAAAGCAGAAGCTAAAGAACTTGAAGAAAAAACATTACCACCTCTACCTATTTCTTTAAAATACTATGTAGATAAAGATAGACTTTTAAATGAGGATTCTATTGCACCTGCTGAAGACCCACCTATGAAAGTATTTCAGTTGCCTTTCTCTAATACAACTCAATTTGATATAACACAAGAAGATGTTAAAATGCCAAAAAAAATGCAAGATGAAGAATCCAATGCTGAGTTTGATAAGTCGTCTATAAACAAATGGATGACAAACTATGAGTATTTTGATGATACACAACTATCTAATACAGAGGATGCTAGTGATGATGAAGATGAAGGCAGCTTTTGGTGCAAAAATTATGGCACTCCGGACCCTACATTACCTATCAGTCAGGTTCCCTGTGGAGGCTGTGGTGCTCTCCTACATTGCAACGAGCCTGCAATCCCTGGATATTTACCGAGTGAACTCTTCAAGGAAAGAGGGATAGAAGAATTAAAAAAAATGGAATGTCAACGATGTCATTTTCTCAAAGAGTATAATATTGCTTTAGATGTGACTGTTCAACCTGAAGAATATGAAAAATTACTCCAATCTATCAGGTTGATATAGATTTATTTTTTTGTAGTAAATTTTTAACTAAACATTGCTTAACTTGTTATGATTTAAATGACATCCATATATTTTTTAACATTTATTGAAATAGAAAATACAATGTATTTTTTTTTTAGGCATGTAAAATCATTGGTACTGCTCATGGTGGATTTATTAGACTTTCCATGTTCCATTTGGCCCGGTATAGTTGATATTATAGGCACTGATAGACCTATTATGATTGTTGCAAATAAGGTTAGTAAGAAAAACACATATATAAATAACTGAACAGGCTTATGTTTTCATTATATTAATCCAATTTATGTTTAATAAAATAAACAAACATTTACATATTGTATAACAATAATATGATAATAATTTGATTATATTATTGTTTATGTGCAGGTTGATTTATTACCTGGCGACAGTGTCGGCTACCTAAAGAGAATCAAACAATCCCTGCTGTCAGAAATAAGGAAGACCAAGTTAAAAGAAGCCAACATCAAATATATAGCATTGATATCAGCTAAAACAGGTTATGGGGTTGAAGATTTAATTTCAGCAATGTTTAAACTATGGCTGTATAAGGGCGACGTTTTCCTTGTAGGATGTACAAATGTAGGCAAAAGTTCACTTTTTAATGCTTTACTACAATCAGATTACTGTAAGGTTCATGCCACTGATATAGTGAAGAGAGCCACAGTCAGCAGGTGGCCCGGAACTACATTGAATCTTTTGAAATTCCCAATCAATAGACCATCAGGGTGGAAAATTCGTCAAAGGAGTAAAAGGCTTCAGTCCGAAGCAAAACTACTAAGAATAGAACGAGAAATACGTGACGAGCAATTGTCTGGAAAAAATAAAACTGAAGGCCCATCTTTAATAGGTCACATTGGTAGAACTTTTACAGAATATAAACTTTTTGATGATAATATTGCAGAGAAACAACATTCTTTAACTGTGTTGGATGAAAATCATGAACTTTTCAAGAAAAGTAAATGGTTTTATGACACTCCCGGCGTCATTCACCCCGACCAAGTGCTCTCTCTTCTTAGTACTGAAGAGTTGTTACTGACCATTCCTAAAAAGCTTATAAAGCCGCAAACATACTATTTGCATAAGGGTTTCACATTTCTCATCGCTGGCTTAGCGCGAGTGGACCTTATTGATACGGAAGAGCCTTGTCGCTTTACGATCTTTTGCTCTATGAGTCTTCCTATAACCGTTGTAAAGACTGAAATGGCTGATGAAATCTATAATAAATTCGTTGGCTCCGAATTATTTGCTGTACCTTCTGGCGGGTCAGAGAGACTACGTAACTGGCCAGGATTAAGTAGACACGAAAATGATTTGGAATTCAAAGGAGAAGGCCCTAAGGCATGTTGCGGTGACATTGTTTTGTCGTCTATTGGCTGGGTGTCGGTGACTGCGAAGAAGGACACGTGTTGCTCGGTGGCGGCGTGGACGCCGGCGGCGCGCGGCGTGCACCGCCGATACCCCTCGCTGTTGCCCTTCTCCGTCAATATGAAGGGCAAAAGGATTCGGGACACCCCCGCGTATATGACGGGGAAAGTGTTCTCCGATGACTAGATTTATACTTTTAGTTTTGTTTAATTTTAAGTATAATAAATAAGCTTAAATTCATTTCAAATGTAGTTTCAATTTTACTAGCAAAATTAATGCGAATGTGTAGTTAGTCCTTATTTCTCACAGGAATGGAGCCACAGATCAAAAAAAAATATTATTATTATATCATTGAGTATAAGCACAAGAATTTATATAGGCTACCTTTTGTATCCAGTACAACAAATACAACCTTAGCATAAAAATAAATTAGATTGTCTTAGCATATAACTTTATTGGAATACTAGTGACTCACCCTCGTTTAGCTCGGGTTCGTCTTTAGCTTGCTTCCCAATACAAACTTTAATCCCCATTTTCACCCCCTTAAGGGATGATTTCCAGGATAAAAAGTATCCTATGGCCTTTCAAATTTTATCTAAATCTGTTCAGTAGGTCCAGAGATTACCCCTTACAACGTCATAAACTCACAAACTTTACCTCTTTATAATATTAGTATAGATAAGTAACTTAAAGAGTCAATTGTAATAATATAAATTAATGAATATAGTAAAGATAGATAGGAAATTCATTGTTCTTACACTGAGGTATTGTTGACGAACAAACAATTATTTAGCATAACATATATTTAGAATAACTCGTGTACGAGTATGAATCGTACCCCATACATAACTGGTGTCACATGTTCAGTCAGTGTTAATCAGATAAATAGCTCAGTATACAGTGACAGTCATTCTATCATTAAAAAAATTGGTGCAAGTGCGAGTTTGGCTCGAGCATCAGGTATTTTATATTGCCACACCAACATCTCACCTAGTGTATTAATTTTTATTTCAGAAATTACAAAGTGTAATTATGTGTGTGTGTTATTTTTACTATAGACCAAAACATTTTTATTATAACACTGCCGTTGGTGATGTTCATTAGATCCAAGAGAGTCCAATTGTATTCTTAGTGTTTACAACAGTTTTTTCTTCTATTTTAAAAACTAAGCATTTTTATAAAATTTTATACATATATAGATAAAATGCATTTTTTGACTTTAGAAGTCACCAATACTGTATTTCAAAACTTTTAGTAAATTGGTCGGTTGAACAAATGAGCAAGAGTAAGTAGTCTACGTAATGGCAGCGAGTAGTATGGAGTAAGATGGGGTGTGAGGGGCGTACCGTTGTGTCCGGGCGGGCACTGGCAGCGCACGAGGCCGTCGTCCAGCGCCAGGCACGTGCCGTTGTTGCAGGGCGCCGACGCGCACGCGCTGTCCGCGCCCGCCGCGCCGCAGCGCCACGCGCCGCCCTGCTCCACGCATTCCTGCGCGCACACACACTTTAACTTTAGAGTATACATTTTAATCTGCTTTTATTTTAAACTAAGGGGTACTAATTTAATAACGACTCGAACAATAATTTAAGTTTTTAATCCACCATTAACAACGACAGTTTTTCTTTCAAATTTTTATGGAATCTTTTTTGAAGTATATATTATATAAGTGTCTCCTATGTTAATAAGAAAGCTCAGCGTAAAATACTATAATTACGATTTGATATATTATTATATACTATTCTCTATATCTTCTGTTATATAATATAAATACTTATTGAAGTATATATGTATGTATGTATCTATGCGGTGTGCCTCTGACCTGTCTGGGCGGGCAAGATGTGGCACGGCAGTCCAGCGCCAGCTCGCAGCGCTCGCCGCCGTAGCCGGGGCGGCACTCGCACGCGTCGCCGCGGCACTCGCCCTCGCCCGCCGCGCCCTCCGCCTCGCCGCCCGCCCCCGCCGCCGCGCCCGCCCCCACCGGCGCGTCGCAGCGCAGCCCCGTCCAACCCGGCTCGCACTCGCAGTGGAATCCGGTAGCCTACACAGATTAATTTTCATTCGATAAAAATGTTTTAATCTTTATTAAAACACATACTTTTGAATAATATTAGCATAGTACTAGGGTTGTTAGTGATCCGATTCCCGCTTGAAGGGAAAATTCATAGGGGAAATAGGCGTATTTGTTTGTAGGTGGACAAGTTTTAAAAAGTCATTTAAGTTTGCAAATAAAATAAATCCAGTCTATAAACTATTATTAATTTTAAAATAAGCGGGATACTCACAAGGTCGCGGCAGGCGAGCGCGTGCGCGCAGGGCGCGGCGGCGCAGCGCTCCGCCAGCGCCTTGCCCGCCGGGCCCAGCTCGCAGTACACTCCTACACACAGACAGACACCGTTACTGACTAATCATATTACCTACATATTCATTACATACAATGTTTGCAATAAAAATTAATAAATACAAATTAAATTGTCGAGTATGACTTAAAATATATGTTTTAAGTCGCAATTTAATAACTAAATCAAAATTAAGAATAAATTCTTACTCAATCAACTATCCATAACACTAATTCATGTAATATAAAAAAAATCTAACACAGATCCAATTTCACATTCCCACAGAACTAAGCATTCTTACCATAAACTATAAACCATTGAGAACGCTAAACATTAATACACCATATAACGATGAGAAAACATAAACCAATATAAGAAACAAAATCTAGGTCACAACCTATTCTGAAAGCACATGCACATAGAAATGATATTTTAACAACAAATAAACTCATGGATGCTGTAAATGAATATGAAACAGCCAACATTCCTCAGTACATATTTGGAAGTACATAATTGATGTCACGAAAACAAAAAACTTACATAAGCTGTTTGATCTATGAAACCGCAAAGAAGGCTCACGTATATTTCATGAAAAAAAAAATATCAGCATGAAACTTTTTAACAATGGAAGTAAAAAAATATATAAAGAATATTTATTTATAGATTTGTTTTATTTATATATGAGCCTTCTGTGAATACTAAACACCTATGAACACAACGGAGCATCAACGCTCTGCCGCGCACGCGGGCACAGAGGCACAGGCGTGCACAGAGCAGGCGCGCACAGAGCACAGAGGCACACAGGCACAAGGCCAGCGGTACCTTATATCTAAATCTTCTTATCCTAACTACGAGTACGGAGGGCGCCACCGCGTTACTCCGCGCGGGCGCCGCCGGCTAGGGGAGGTACAAGTAAATATATGTTTTAGAGTCATAAGCATTGTACGTATATATAGCTTGGGTAACATGACGTTTTATTATAATACGTACAGATTAACAATTTTAATATATTTAGAATACAATGACAATTATTTCATTGGATAAAAAAAGTGAAGTTAATTATTGTGCAATATAATATAAACATAATAAAACTAGAGATTATAAATAAATAAATAGATTAATTTTTATAAAATAATCCTAATATCGAATTTTCCGTAAAATTCTGTAAAAAGTAATACGTCATAGATAAAAATAAAAGCATTTACTATATTGAATAAAAGTACTTAAATCAGTGTATGAAAGAATTTTAATAAATTTCATAAGATATATGCGTATACGGTAGTCGTAGTTACCCTTGTACCCGGGCGCGCAGAGGCAGTCGAGGCGGTCGGCGGCGCGCACGCAGGAGCCGCCGTTGAGGCACACGCCGGCCTCGCACGCCACCTCCAGCGCGCTGCAGTTGGGCGCCGGCCCCGGCGCGCCGTAGTACCCGAGGTCGCACACGCACAGCACTTGCTTCGTCACCGTCACGCCGGCCACCATGGCCGGCATGCCTGTATGTCCAAATTATAACCATGAAGTATATAAAAATTAAATACATTTGTTATATTTTAAGAATTTTTCTAAAATATTCTAGTCTTTAAAAGATAAAAAAAAACGTATTTCATAAAAGTTACACTTGAGACCATGAAAATATGACCACCATGTAATATGAATATATACATATGCGAATGTTTTAAAAACATTATTACTATTTATTATATTTTGAAAGAAAAAAACCATCGTGAGCATATTTACATATTTGAAAAAAAATATCTTATACAAACTGCATTTAATTTAGCTTACTTTATCTCGCTTGTAGGCTATATTATTTACTATTATTCTAATGTCTATAGACTATAGAAGTGTACCGACCAGCGCGGCAGTGCGAGCGCGGCGGGCAGGCGAGGTCGGCGCAGGCGGCGGGCGCGGGCGCGGGCGGCGCGGGGGCGGGCGGCGTGGTGGGCGGCGCGGCGGGCGCGCACAGCGGCGGCTCGGTGCCGCGCGCGCACACGCAGCGGAAGCCCGCGCCGTTGTTCTCCTCCACGCATGCGCCGCCCACGCCGCAAGGGCCTGACGCGCACGCTGACATCTATACAAAACGAAATCATATTATAAAAACATAAACACAAAACCTACTATGTATTAATAATAATTGATTACATATTTTACCTCATAAAGTATTTGAAATAACAGATTAAAAAAGCATAATGCAAGCTCAAGATTTGACAACCACTAACTCATATAAACCAATAAAGTGCACTATGCCTAAGGTCGTGGATTAGAAAACATACAGGTTTATCTTCGTCTGAATTCTGATTACCAGTAGTATTCTAACGTAAACGGAAGCAAGTAGAGAGAGTGTGTGCGTGAGAGAGACATATGAAAAGGAGAGAGAGAGTGAGAGAGTGTATATAAATGAGACGAGGCAGTTACGTTGCGACAGCGCTCGCCGGTGTAGCCGGGCAGGCAGGCGCACACGAAGCCGCCGTAGGTGTCGTAGCAGGCGCCGTGGCCGCACACGCCGCGCTCCTCCTCGCACTCGTTCACGTTGCTCTCGCAGCGCGCGCCCGTGTACCCTGCCGCGTCACAACACATTATATATGTAAAAAATATAATACAATAAATATTCCGGATCGCTACTCCTTATTTATCATATTTAATATGATATTGAAGCAACGACAAGTGTGAGTGTGACTCGTACAACGAAGGTTTCATATCATTAAATATTACATTTTTGTTATGTTTTTAAGTAAATGTATAAATAAACATAAGTATAAGATAAATATGACAAAATTATAAGAGTTCCGTTTTTCCCATTTGGTTACGGAATTTAAAATTTATATACATATATGATGACTCGTATAATCGAATTTTTGAGTAAGGGCTTATTTATGGACTAAGATCCCGCTGCAAGATTGCTACACGTTCATAGCGTATTTAATCAAAATCATTTTTTTATATACAATATTAAAGGGACAATATGTTTTGACCGGGGCGCCTATTAAAATGTGCCCGCTAGTATGTTTAATTAAATAAATAATAATTGAGTTTTTGGGACAAAATCGATGCACTTGTCGCGAGCGTACCGGTGCCTGTACAGTCGCAGGTGTAGGCGTTGGCGGCGTCGAGGCAGCGGCCGCCGTGCAGACAGGCGCGCGCGCCCGCCGCCGCCGCCGCCGCGCACTCGTCCACGTCCGTCTCGCAGTCCCGCCCGGTGTAACCTGCGCACACGTCACGCATCATTACTGCGACCATTCTCTTTCTGACACCATCCAAAGTTCTCTTAACACTGTCACCGATTGTGGTGAGGTAATTATTCTAGTTTAAATAAATATACTACAATGTAAATTGCAATTTAATTGCAATGCTTAAAGTTTATTTTTACAAAAAAAAAATATTAAAAGCGCGCTCAAATATTCAAATGAGCGCTCATTCGGTGAGAACATTTTTTGTCGCTGATTGTGTATCTAGTACTTTTTTGATCGATGTCTGACACTTATGTATGTATTTGTTACTTCTTCACATTATAGCTGCTGAATGAATTTGAGAGAAACCTAATGTTCCTTCCTGGAGGAGGATCATAATATGTCATTTTGATATATTTTTTTAAAGTATTTCTTTTCTTTAACCATTGTCGAATGACATTTGGTCTAACCCCTTAAATAAAACTTCTAGGTTATTGATTTTTTTAAGCAATTTACAAAAAGATGTACCACCACTTGTTATGCAAAGCATATATTATATAATACGTTTTAACTTTTATCCATCAAAAAGTCTAGTAAGAATAACATATACATATTATGATAGAAACACAAAACAATAATCAAATAAGCAGTTGAGTTAACGGATTGCTATAATGCCGTAACCATTCATGTTTTTTATTGTATGCAAATGCGGCGACGCCAAATAAACAGCCAAAACTTGTTCTAACAAACATTGTATAAGGATGACACAACCAGACCAACCTTTCATAGACAGATAGTATACAAAATATGGTTACAATGGAGCGATAAAAAATAATTATCTTATGAGAAATATGTCTTATTAAAAATTATTCCGACATAGGAAAGGTGCGTTTAATTAGATCTACTATACTAGTATTGCAGGTTTTATTTCTATGCAGAGCTAAATTTCTTTTTGTGTTGGCATACAAATAATATGTGTGTTCGAAGCGACCGAGCGAAGCGTGGGTAAGCCGCTTAATAAGTGTTTTGTCGTGTGTGCAAATAAAAGTCCAAGTGTAGAGTGAAGTGTGTCCGAGGGCGGCAAGGGCTCACCAGGGGGGCAGTCACACACGTAGGCGTCGGCGCCGGCGCCGGCCGGAACGCGGCAGCTGCCGCCGTTGCGGCACGGCCGCGCCACGCACTGCGGGTCCAGCGACTCCTCCAGCTCGCAGTATGTACCTGACGACATCGTCTTTATATTCAAGTATATATATCAGATTTAAGCAAAAATCATTCATATTGTTTAAAATGTTTAGTACTTTAAAAATTTTATTTTTTACCTATATTTGAATGTTACCTACTTTTACAATAGTAACTACTTTTATAGTATACATTGTTATTATATTTTTATTTTTGTTCAATTTGAATTTTTAAAATTATTTCAACTCAATTTTGCGAAGATAATTTGACTCTACTACTACTATTGTACGCTGTATGCTTTGCGGATATATGAAGTGGGTGCGTACCGTGGTAGTGCGGCGGGCAGAGGCAGGCGACGTCGCCGCGCGCGTCCTCCACGCAGCGCGCGCCGTGGCGGCAGGGCGCGGCGGCGCACGGGTCGCCCGCGTCCACCTCGCAGTTGTTGCCCGTGTAGCGCGCCGTGCAGTGGCACTCGTATCTGCACACCGTTCATCATGCCATTATAATAATAAAAATATAACCCTTTATTGTACACGCAAAAAGAAAACAAAATATGTAAAATATAAGAGAAGGTACAAGAGGCGGCCTTATCGCTTAAGGAGCGATTTCTTCTAGGCAACCTTTAGCTGTAAGAAATAGTACTACCATAGAAGGGGCGCGAATAATAAAGATAGAGATAATACAAAATGTAATTCCAAGTATCATTTCATTATTGTTCAAATTATATTTCTTTCATTACACTCTTACGAGTAGATAATTTTGAATCGTTAACCTAACTTAAAAAGTCATTGTAGTATAGTAGCGAAGAAGCTACCATTGACTCGATCCTAAACAGTCCTGCTGAAAAGAGCTTAAAAACCAAGCAACTGTTGTCCAATGTCCAATTTTCATCACTTTCTTGAAGATTAATGGTTACAAACAACATATTTAAACCAATAGTTTTTATTAACATTGACATTACTACAAAATACTACTTTTACTAATTCTAGTACAAGATAAGATCTAATTTATTGATAAATAATCTAATGACTCACCTGTCGTGCCTCGATATGCAAGTCCCGTGTCGCAAACATGGCTCGTTGTAACAGTGATCTTTTGGTGGTATCCTTAAAACGTCTTTTCTATCTATGCCTGTAATAAATTATATAATATTAAAATTATATAATTATTTTTAATCATATTATTTTTTATTTGTTAATGTACTATTTTCTTAGATTTGTACGAATATTTGAAATTTTTAATAAAATTATTTTTTCGCATTTCTCCGCAATTCTACTTTCATTCTGATGTTTTGATCCCGAACGTCTCAGCGTAGAAACCATGTCCGAAACGATGTCCGACGAAAAATGGAGGAAAGTAATGTGCTTAAATTATCTCTGAGATAAACAATTGCATTAGACCCAAATCATGTTCCACCAAATATGGTTTTTATAAAAGCACCAATACAGTGTCTGTTGGTGAGACATAAAGTAAGACAAACTCTCACAGTCGTCGGTAGTGAGCGGGCAGTGGCCGAAGCGCACGGCGGCGTGCAGCACGTGCGCGGGGTGGAACTCCAGCTGCGGGCCCTCGTGCACGCAGCCGCTAAACAGGTTGCCCACCAGCACCACCGCGCCCTCCGCCTCCAACGGGCTCGGCGACAGCAGCTCCGGGTTCCACGTCACGTTCGATATCACCTGTACAATTCGATACGTTTACATAATATATTAAACTAGTGAACGACAGTCCTTAGTTGCATTTACATTTACAATACTGCAGAAGCTCACTTCACAAATATCATTATACTGATAGCCTATTTTCTTAAATTATTTTATATTTGTAGCTTTCCTAACTAATATGTATCTATTGGTGAAAACCGTATGAAAATCCGTACAGTAGTTTTTGAGGTTATTCCGAATAAACACATATTCAACACGACGAAGGCCTTAAATTTACCTTTAACATGCAATGATACTAGTTATCGGTTGATATAGATTTATATCCTATTAGAGCCACATAACTTCTGTGGAAGGGGGTAGTAGTCTACGTCACATTTTGGTAAAAAAATATGTCCTGTTACTGCGAAAAAGAAATAAAATATATACGAATATTCTTAACTGTGTCTTCGCAATTGACTTCACTTGTAGGTTCGAAAACCAAAACTCTCCCATACAATATCGCTAGCCATAAAGTCTACTTTAATTTACTTCGCAATAATGTTGCATAAAATCTATGTAATAAGGAAAAGAAATCAGAACATCCTCATCGATTAGTTCTCCAATTAACCTAACCTAGGTAATCTAAACTGACTAAACTGGGACAAAGCTAACTTTCAAAAACAGTAACGCTTAACCCACAAATACTTGTACGAGTACTATTCATTCTCTTAGTCTAGAATCTAGACTACAGTAAGGACAAATAATATGCTCTTGAAACCTAAGATCTTATCTCAAGCAGAAATACCTATACAATATACCTAGTTATTTTAACATTATTATTAACCTTTAATACATATAAAACCAAGAATATATGTATATACATATATAAAAAATGTGTGTACCTGAGTATCTTTATCGACCTCTAGCAGCAACGACGGTGGATTTGGTTTGTATCGCAGCGCGATCCAGTGCCATTGGTTGTCGAGCGTCTCTTTGGCGAGGCCCACCTCTCTGTGCTCTTGTCCGGGCCGCGCCCACGACACCACTACCTGCTCGAACAGAGCTGTCACGTGCAGGGTGTAGCCTTCGAATCTCTGGGAGAACAGCTCGCCTCCTACGATGATAGGAAAAATTGTGTCACTTAAAAAAATGGGTATATTTCTTATTTCGGCAACAGGGGAAAACAACCGATGTAAGTATAAAGGTTATAACAAACTATTTATTAAAAAAAGTTAGATATAATACAATTTCATATTTACAAAGTAAATAGAGTGTGCTAAATAAGGCTTCTTCGGCTCACAAACCGGCCAACATTAAAATAGACCGTTGCCCAGCTTGAACTATGACTTCCTTATTAAAGATTACTTATGAGAATGTAACATATTATTCTTTACGTAGACTACAGACAGGTAATTTTTTTTACATAAATATTTTAATAGTTAGCAGAAAATTTGAATTGAGTTCATTTTATGTATTGTAGTTCGAATTAAAATAGACTAGTTGTATCACACAGAGCCTTATTCTTGTATATTAAGCAAAATCCGAAATATTGTCAAAGAATGAATATGCACGAAACATTTCAAAATATCGCTACCATATTTTCTGGTTTTTCATAAGCTCGTCGAAATGAGATATAGTTAGTAGAAGGACCGTAAAACGTAAAAGCTAACGCCAGACAGGTTCGCGAGACGGACGCCTTACATAATTTTCAGTGCGGAACTAGCGAGATGTTTCTAATATAAATGCAAAATAACCAAATAGAATATCGCCGCGAAACAAAACAGTCACATTTTGTCTCCGGGGCTTTGGTTGGTACTCGCAAATTTCGATTTTACAAAAAAAAAAACGAAAACAACAAAAACTGACTCTGTAACCGAAAATGATGAAAATAAAAAGCTGTTCCATCTTGAAGGGAGAGTAATGAACGCCAACCACTTGTTCAACTACTTTTTTAACCCAACCAAAATCATTACTTATAAAATACGAATGGAGCTTCGTTAATATGTATTCGAATTTTTATCGCGGTTATTGTGAGGAATAATTTTAAAAGATAAGTGAGTAAATTAACACAAACAACATAGACCGCTTAATTGAATTCAACGAATACCGCTCACTCCATCTGTTTGAAAGTATAATTTTATTATTTGAGAAACGTTGATGCACTTTGTTACGTAAAATATGGTGAAATAATTTTCAGAAATATCCAAAATAAATTATATAAGTACACTAGCGATTCTACCTCGCATATATTTCGCAGAGATGAGATATTTTCCCGCAGTAAAAAGTATCCTATATGTTGACCCGGATAACCAGCTACCATCATACTAAATTTCATCAAAATCAGTCCAGTGGTTTTCTCGTGATGCCTTCTCAGACAGAGAGACAAAAAGTCTAAAAACTATAGATTCGGCCTCTGTATCGATAATAACTATTTTAATCAGATTTTCCAAAAAATATTTAATGTACCTACAGATTCGACTCAGAATTTTAACTCCAAATTTTACTAGGTATAATATGAATAGATTAGTAAGAAAGATCTCTATATTTAAAATTCTTCTTATTGTATTAAAACTTTAAGCCACAAGTTTAAAAAAATATATACATAATTTATTACTACATTGTTTTAAATCCCTCTCGTTAAAAAAAAAATTATTCAGAAATGCATATAATTTGAATAATTATATCTGTGATATAACTACTCAGGAGACGGAATAATTTTACATACGAGATCTACCAACTATCCAATTAACAATCAACTTATCGTTGACGGTTAGTATGGAATAGAAGATGAGTTTTATATCCCATATTTGACAAATATTGATTCCTCATACAAATTTCCATCCCCCTTTTCATCTCCTTAAGGGGTGATTTCCGGAGTAAAAACTAATCCTATGTTCTTCCCTGGGTCTCAAACTATCTCCATACCAATTTTTATCAAATTAGTTTAGGCGTATAGTCATTAAAAGGTAACAAACAAACAGAGTTACTTTCGCATTTATAATATTAGTATGGATGAAAGTGACATCAATTATAAATGTTATATAACTATATAGTTGAGTTATTTCTCAGTGATTTTAGTTTGTACTTTCAGCACTCAGCAGGCTACAGTGGGCGGCAGGGCGCGGGCGGTGGGAGGACGAAGCGCTGAGTTCTGCGCGTGCGGTGTACACGCGACGTGAATAATAAAAGATAACACACTCGTTTCATATTTGGACACGTGTTGATGACCAGATTATATCCCTATCGCATAATTTGAATGTTGATTTAGCAGTTGTGCATGTATATATTTATAGAAAGAATGTCATGTAGTTTTAAAATTGGAACTTTTAGAACATGTAATTCTAGAGCGCTTTAAAAGCTCCTTATTTTTACTCATTATGACAAGTAAAATATTTAAGTATTTTATTTTTCCTTCTTTAATGGTATGTTGCAGTTTTTAACAATAAGATACATATATAAATATACAAAAAAATATAATAAGATAAATATATAAAAAAATAAAATAGAAATTACGTGATTAGCACTAAACTGATGCAGATATTCGCAATGACAGTGTATATAATTTTATTACTTCTCATAATGTACATACAATATGTATAACTAAACTTATATTACAATTGTAATCAATGAATCCCTAAAAGATTATTGTTTACATTGTATTTATAGGGAACACGTAATTCAGGTTTACATTTGCGTCGCCAAATCGACAATATAATAAAAAATACTTCAAAAGAGCAGCAGCAAAAAACGAAGGAAAGATAAATAAAAAGTTGTAAAACAACGGTGATTAATGACAATGTTAAATATGTACCTACATAATAATGTATACAGCTTTTTAAAATAATAAACCCAGAACACATACCAACAATAAATAAAATAAATATGTTGACACAGCACCTCTAGTTCCATGGTAAGCTACGAGGCTTGTGTTATGAATAACAGATAGCTGATACACTACACATATATATCTTTAAATACATACATATTATATACATAACAACCATAGGTCACATATACCCACCATTTTACATGTAACGTAACCTAGACTGGGTTATTTAATAACCACAAAATTTTCTAGTGGTTCGTTGCGGAAGTTAAGACCCATTTCATGAAGTAAGAGACACCGCCGTTTAGTTTGTAGCGATATAAAGGGTAAAAATGTAAATATTTATTTACATAATTTATCTTGATTCCATACATTTTATTCAAAAATCAAATCATATATTCTTTATTGCATTAAAGAGGAATAGTACAATAGGCAGCCTTATCGCTAGGGTGCATCCTAGGCAACCTTTGAGTAGAGAGAAATGAAGAGAGACGGAAGGAATGCAAATAATCTTAAGGAGATCTACTAATGAATACATACATAGACAAAATTAATACATACATACACACATACATTGACACACACACACACATTACACATACATATACAATATGACACCATTTAGCACTTTGTAGGTTAATATCTTTAGTTAATTTTTTAAATAATGTCAGCGAATCGGCTTCTTTGACTTTATTTGGTAAAGAGTTCCACAGACGGGCAGATTGATCAGTAAACGAGTGAGTATAAAAGAAAAAATGTGAAGGATTTTTTAAAGTTAGTTTTAGGTTAGAACGAAGAGGAAAATGGTGAGAATCACTTAAAATTTAAACCTATCTTTAAAATACTAAGGTGTATAAGGATTAAATAGAATATTGTATAAAAGACAAAGAACGTGAGTATTCCTGCGAAGACGGATAGGAAGCCACTTGCCAGCCACACACTTTATTATACGAAATTCGGAAACGTGGTCATATTTACAAAGTCCAAATATAAACCGAATGCAGAAATTTTGAATTCGCTCTAGTTTATTTAATTGCTCCTCTCTTAAATCAAGATAACATTAAGCATCAGCATAGTAAAGAATTGGTAATAGGAGAGTGTTAGCCAATGCAATTTTTAGTAGGAATAGGTAGAAAGTTGCGCAAGCGACGTAATGATGCAACGGCACCAGACATTTTTCTACTCTAATATAATAGCCAAATTTATCACTTTATCATTGTAAGTAATTTGTACACCATCAAAGATAGGTAGGCGGTAACTGTGATTAAGATATATTTGATTTTAATTTTGAACTACTAAAGTTGGTAAGGAGAAGTAATATAGTTACGGAGACAGTTAATAAATAAAAAAAAAATAGGAATTTAAACAACACGCCACCTTAAGGAACACCGGCATGCAGAGAAATCCATTCAGAGCAAGAATCAACAATATGGACTCGTAGCCAGCGACCATACAAGTAACTATGAAACCAATCAATCACACCTGGAGATATGTTAAGAAAACACAATGTAGCAAGCAGAATATCAAAATCAACATTGTGACTTGTTGATTTTCCATTACTAAACACATAAACATAGTTTCATTTTATTCAATCGAATTTTATTCATTCCACGTGCCCCGCTATAAAGCAGGATTTTGGACGATTTAACATAGGTATTTTATCTTCTAAAATTCACTTTAAGATGAATATTTTTTTAATCACTAACATATCTTTAAGGATAAATATAGTATAAGGATATGTCAAGGTAAACAAACCCACTTCAAATGAGATAAACGGCAATTAGCGTCCGTACTGATGTAATATTTTGATTTGCTACATACAAGTTACTTGTTCTCAGCGAATAACCCAAATGACCATAACTGGGCATAAGCTGGACATCTACATACGTATTATGTATGTATGTATATTTGTAGTTAGGTAACACCACATATGTATGTACATTGCGTGCTTATCTAAGTACATATTTGTACCATTTAACATTAAAGTTTCTTATTATTACTTTAGCTATAGAGCTATTATCTGCGTTACTTGTATAGCATATAGGTACATTTATAGTTTTGACTTATATACATATTTTATCCCCTAAAGAGGTGGAGACTTCTTCAGGTGTTAAATTACTGTTTTGTATTAAGAAATTATTGTTTAATTATCAAATATAAAATCAAATATAAGAACTCGACTTAAGCCTAGTTGTAAATATCATATCGGTTTTTAACTGTGAAAGTATGTGTAATCTGGATGACATTACAATCATTTGATATCATCGACCTGATCTGGTGATGTAACTAGGGGCCTAATAGTGGAACTCTCAAAATAGCCTTGGCGTTAAAACTTATTAATAAAAAAAATACAGAAACTTTTTTCTTAATATTTACATATACATAATTATAAAATAAAAAAAGCTAGTCGCTTTATAAAATGTTGCATTATTAACATGAGGGTAAATATTTTTTTGCTATTTCCGGTTCCCACACCCGTTTTCCGGTTCAGGTAGACATTTTTTATAATACAGAATAATAATCCCTACGTAACTCGCATCAAAACGCCGAGAATAGGTCAGGTTAATTAAAAAAATCAATTCTCGTGAATATTGCATTAAAATATTATAGACTCGAAAACCAATGAATTTATGGAAAAACTTTTACTATATTCGTATAGTGGCTTGGTATAGACAAAGTATTTTTACGACATAACAATCTAGGGCATCTAATTTAATTGGTCTCAAATATATGTGTATGAGTAATCGATTGTTTATTACAATTTAGTAAGAATAAAATTTTTACTCTATACACAATGACCTAAATCCTAGTAAAATAATAGAGCTTACAACAGCGATGTGTTTTTTTACACTTTCTAAAATATAAGGTCTGATGACGTGTAGGGCTGAGGCCTGCCTGGTGGTAGCTATCGTACTTAGCATGCTAATTGCTATGATTCATCACTTAAAGAATTTCTAGCCTTATAAGAATACCGTTACTCTGGTTCACAAGCTCTTGGACCAAATCCAAATTTGTTTTACATGTACATATTTCTAAACTCTTTAAATTGTTAACTGTACGGAATGTGTATGATTGTATGATAGATGGACTCACCAACACACGTCCTGAAGCTGAGCCCGACGAGCTGTTTGAGTGAGAAGGGCTTGGCGAGGCGGATGTAGGAAGAGCCGTTGAAGTAGGCCTCCGGGCGCTCCGACGGGCCGAGCGGGCCGGCCGCGAGGACGCCTGACGCTGCCGCTGCCACCAACAGTGTTAGGCAAGCTGTGAACAAGAGAACCGACTATTAGATCTATAATATTGAAAAATTTTATAGGACTATTTAAACAATACCAAAGTACTTAAATTCATTGTGGTAATAGGTAGATATTAAAAAAATAATATGCAACAATAAAATACATAGGTACGTTAATGTGTATATTATAATTGTCTTTAATTTTCTTTAAAATACTACATTTTCCTTGTATTGGCTTTTCATGTAGAAGAAGAAAAATATACTTATAAAAAAAAGCAAAATCTTATTTTTTCTACATGTTTTTGTTTTTGGAAGAGTGAATAAATAACACATCAAACAATAAACATAATAATATAAGTTTTGATTGAATAAACAAGCATTTTATAAAACTTTGTCATATAGCGTCGTCACGGAATCACGTAAACAATAACTGTTACAAATGCGAGCATAATCTCATTAAAAATACATAAAAATAATCGTTTATCTAAGTATGTGTCATACGATATTATGAAAAAGTAATTTAAGCCACTAGATCAATCCTAGCCAGTGTTGTGAAAGTTATTCGACCGTGGTCGTTATTCGTATCGGAGTTGCTCTTGAATTAGGTCTTAGTACGGATAAAGTTAGCTACAGCACGACAAGAGCTAATCGAGTTAAAATCGATTGGCTACGAAATCGATTTCGACACACTCGTGGTAATGAGCTTTTATAGTGAAAAGTGCAAAATGAGAAAGCTGGCGAAACTCTGTGAGTATCACGATATGGGAACCATAGCATGATGTAGAGATAGCATTGTTGCTATGAAAGTGTTGTTTTCCAATCCAATGCATAGAATCTCTTATAAGCTCTCATATTCTTGTATAACACAAAGAAATCATCTTTATTTTGTGTTTGTTCTATACATTTAGCACTAATTAAGTACCTTACTACTTGTAAGAACCAAAGCTAGGACTTCCTATGACGAACCGTTTGGCTCAGTTTGTAGTGACCCTACTTGCTGTGCCAGCTGTCGCGGGTTCGAGTCCCGCTGGAGGCATTCATTTGTGTGATGAGCATGAATGCGTGTACTCCAGTCATGGTTGTTTATATTTATAACATATATGTATTTAAAGTTATATCATGTGTATCAACTGTCTGGTATCCATAACACAAGCCTTGTAGCTTACCATGGAATTAGATGGTGCTGTGTGTTAATGTCCCAACATAATTATTTATGTATTCCTATATAATCCTATAGGGACCTGCTGAATAAATCTTGAATATCGTTTACAGGAATATCCCATATAGGACATGCAATAATGTAACTCCTCTATTTGGATCAAGTATCGTTGACATTTCTAACTGTTTATTTACATAGTTTATAATAGAAAAAGTTTACTATATAATATAAGCAAGCGTAAAAGGAATTTACTAAACAGCACAATGCTGTGATTACGCAGTATGAAGTGAACTGATCGACCGGTCAACTATTTGACTGGACTTATAGATATTTAAAAACAATCTTTATTGCGATAATTATAAGATATATTCTTGTTTAAGTGATACATTTCGTGCGGTTAACCGTTTGTATGTGCAATCGAAACGGCGATCAAAAATATTGGACTTAGTCAAACCAGTTTGCAAGATGTTTAATCTTTATGCTAATTGTTTTAAGATCGAAAATAGCACTATCATATTTATTACAAAAATGTTTCGTAAGATTAACACAATAGCTTTCCACATTAAGCAAGCACTGTCGCCCTATGGCATGCTACACACGAGCGGGCCACGTGTACCAGAACCCTTGTTTATTGACGTTGCAAATAAAGATTTATAAAAATATTAGAGCTTATTATAAAAATCCAATTACTTGACATACGTAAATGGTATTTACAGACTATGACAACGTGCGAGATAGAGGTTGTAAGTTATCTTGATTAATAGTTACATGTACCTTTAAAATATTAAATCAAACTTTATTCTTAGAGTGAGAAAATAATTACGTAGGTACCTACACATGTAAGCAAAGATGGTTTACAATTACATAACACTCATGTAAATGCTTACTATTACTAATATCTTGCATATGAAAGAGGACATGTGATCTCTCTCGTGGCAGCGGTGATTTTTACAAAGTTACTACTGTTTACGTCACAGTTAATACCACAGGGTTTCCTGCGGAGTTTATTCCAGATACGTAGTTTTTTTTTGTAAAGAAAATTGTACTATTGACCAAAAACTCCGAGCGAAGCGCGGTGGCCCAGGTATTTTTGGAAAATGATGTTTTATTCGTGTTTTCAATAATCAACTAAAACATAAACTTTTTTTTATTGAAAAAAAATAATAATAAAAAGGTGGCGTTTAGGTAGTCCTAATGTTGCCACTTAAACACTAACTGAAAAAAATGACCGTTTCTGACATCTATTAGCGAATAATAATACTATTATTTTTAAATTGTTATCTGAACCTCGGAAACGGCTCCCACGATGTTCATGAAATTTAGTATACAGATTTTGGGGGCGATATATCGATATAGATTAGTCTTATGTCTGAGAAAACACGTGTTTTCAAGATTTCATGCAGTTTTCTTTTGCTATTCGACGCAAAATATGGTCGGTAAATTGCACGCTCGGGAAGTACAAAGTTTTTATTTTTATATTTTTTTAATATTTATTCAAGTTTTTAGGTTTTTTTTAAAATAAAAAGACGCAAGATTGACAATCATAGGTGTCCGGGTTCGAATCCCGATCGGATACAATACAAAGGTATAATTTTTTTTTTGTATTTATTCAAGTTTAAAGTTTTTTTTTAAGAAAATTTAACCAAAAACTCCGAGCGAAGCTCAGTGGCCCAGGCTACTATCTATATAACACTTGTTACATATCCACGGAAAAGTTAACTTGACCGAAGCCAAGGTATCATCTCATCCGCGATAATAAAATCAATGTGTTCAAGGCTCTCATGTAGTCTAGCACAAGGTAGAAGCAACAGCATAATCTATTTATACGCTCTACAGTCTACAAGCCACCGTAGAGTATTTTGTAAGTATGTAATTTCATTTTAAAATATTTTTTTTATTAGATATATTTTTACATATCCTATACTGATTAGTAACTAACCATATGCTAATAAAAATAGCTATATTATATAAAAAAATATACATATATATGTATAAAAAAAATCTATCTCTTTGTTAGAGGTCGCAAGTTCACAGTCAAGTTTTACCGCGGGAATATCCCCGCCAGAGAAATAAATGTGGTCATCTGTCATAAGTCATAACATATTTGATTTATTTAGTCAAAGAGATTTACATTGTTAAAAAAAATTTAACATACAATAACATTGTAATTTGTAACTGAGTCGAATCTGTACATTAAATATTTTTTTGGAAAATCTAATTGAAATAGACATTATTATCGATACAGAGTCCGAATCTATAGTTTTTAGAATTTTTGTCTGTCTGTCTGTCTGTTACCGCATCACAGAAGAACTACTGGAGGGACTTTGATGAAATTTGGTATGATGATAGCTGGTTAGCCGGGTCAACTAATAGGATACTTTTTACCGCGTGAAAATATCTCATTTCTGAGAAAAATACAAAAACTGCATTGTAAGAGTAAAATAATATGTAAACCCTAAGAATTTGGTTTTTGGTCTGGTTGGTAATGCTAGTGAATTATATATTTTCATTTCTCTAGGACACACCGGCGAAACTCCGCACAAAACAATAGGAATACCGCAAGTTATGTTATTATTATTTTATGTAGTTTACTCGTCAAGTCATTCACGAACACGTAGATAGACACAAGTCACGTTCCGCCATCTTGCACACTTCCTTTTCCTCGAGCCGGCACCGCCGCTTTGTGATTTTATATTAACAACTGCATTTCTCATAGCGTGATTCATATCAAAATAAATCATGATGTTTAGTTATTTTCATGTCATTTCACCAAGATTAAAAATCACGAGATTTGGTTTCATAGACCGTTTGAAATATATGTACATATGACAATAATTGAAATAATAATAGTATCCGAAGTATGTACATACACGTCCATATTTTAAGTCCATAATTATAAGTTAGCTACTTACAATTTAAGAACATATAAAAAATATAAACTACACATATCTTTTTATGGATATGAATAGGGAAATTTTGTTTAAAATATTTTAAAAATAAGCGTACGTAATACGACGTCCAACCTTGGCTTCTTCCCACATAAAAACTAACAACAATAAACCTTACGGTTTACCCATCACACTGACTTCAAAACTCTAATTATACTCGTACAAAGAGTTGGAAGAAATCTATACATATAATAAAACTGTAACTAAGCCGAAACTCTACATTCAATATTTTTTTGGAAAACCTTATTGAAATAGATTTTATTATCAATACAGAGGCCAAATAGTTTTTTAGAATTATTGTCTGTCTGTCTGTTTGTCTGTTACCGCATCACAGAAAAACCACTGGAGGGATTTTGATAAAATTTTGTATAGTGATAGTTGGTTATCCGGGTCAACATATAGAATAATTTTTTCCCGCGGGAAAATATCTCATTTCCGAGAAAAAATGGAAAAACTGCAATGTAAGAGTATACTTATCTGTAAAACCTAAGAATTTAGTTTTTCGTCATCTGAACGCGGGCAAAGCCGCGGGCAATGCTAGTATGACATTTATATAAAGACAAGTGACGATATATTTAATGACAAGTTGTTATATAATTGATAAGCTATATATGTATATATTAGGGTGTGCCAAAAAATGACGATATTTTTTTTCTTCGCTCTCACCCCAAAATATCTCAGAAAATGTCCCAATAAAGCTCCTGTTAAAAGCGGAGCTTAAAATTCCAATACTAAGAGGTTCTCCATCGAACTTTAAGTTTTCCCATACAAATTGTATGGAAAATATGATTTTTAACACTTTTTTGTCCTGCAAACTATGACGAAAATATTTTTCACAAAAATGAATGAATGGACCGTTTATACTATTAAATTTACTACAAAAAGTTCCATTGAGTCGAATTTCTATCTTCAATATTTTATT